AAGTTATTAACGTTTAAAGTTCCTGTATCTTTGTATCTCGATGATGGTTTTGGAACGAAATTGACATGAAACTTTCGTGCTCTCGTGTCTTGGCACGATCTCTTTTGATGGTTACCGACATCGTGCCGATCGACTCGTCGGCATGCCGGTCGGCTTTTCAAGCCATGCTATCCAAGACGATGCAGTGTTTGGCTTTGCCGAGAAGTACTTAGGGTGCCGATCGGCCGTGCTAGATGACAGATGCGGACGCAGTGTAGACGCAATTCTCGGCTTTTGCCGATCGGCCGTGCCGAACGGCAAAAGCCGACCCAGTGGGGACGCGGCTTTAGACGCTAAGGAAGTTCGTTGTCACTATTGTTGATTTCGATGTATTCAATTATGCCCAATCTGGCTACACCGGGCCACACTGATTACGAGTCTGACTCGTGTTATTCGCGTTTAACATGAAATTAAACAACGAGCCTGACTCGTGATATTCAAGTTTAGCCTAAAATTTTCATCACGAGTCAGACTCGTGAAAATAGTGCAAGGGGTTAATTACACATTCCGCGTAAACCATTCGATCTACTAACAAATTAAAAGTTACCTTTCCGAATAAAGATTAAAATTATTTGATCAACAGAAAATGTGTAATTATACGTGTGAGTCATTAAAAAAACCGAGGTACTGTGTGAGTATCGAGATACTCCGGAGTTAAAAAATCTTTAGACACTCTAACGAACTCACTATTTTTGCCACAAATACATTCAGGAATTAAATACATCTGCTATCGACAGGGTTTTGTTATTGTGATCGGGAACGCCAGTATTTTTTTTGTTACTTTACACCATGAAGTGCATAGAAAAAACAGCTTTAACACATTGACTGCCATTTCACCCATATATGGGTGACGATTTTTCACTAAGGAGCTAAAACAATTAGTTCTCAAGATTAGATGTTAAAGAAAATAAATCCAGATATAAGTCTTGAATTTTAATGGGTCTGTAAAAATAAGTTCAATAACAAATGATGGGTATGCTAGTTTCCAGTTGTCTAACAACAAAGTTTCGTTTTCCTGCACAGTTTGAGGGGTTTGGTCTGGCAGTCAACGTGTTAATGCGTACAGGCCGATTGTTTCTGCGGTACTTTTTTAATTTAATGGTGGTCATAAGCGTCACACAACAACGTGAATCTTGGTACGTGGCATGGAAGTGAGGAACGCGAAAGTTCCTGTTTTAATCAGTCTTCTTATTGAAAGTCCACCATTAATCACCGTGAAAAGTCAAAAGTTCATTAAGCATATCTCGGATAAACTACACATGTTACCTATAAAGCGAATCCATAAAAATTATTTGGTTATTTTCTGAAAAATTAGCTGCTAATGAAGTTTCTTTGATTGATGCCTTCGCTTCAGCAGTATTATATCTAAAAGAAGATTCAATCCGCTTGAAATGAACGAGACGATATCTTTGTCCAACATTGTCATATCGATGCAAGAGTGAGGAGAATTTCTTCATCGTATTAAAAAAGTAAAACTCTGGATTTAACGGAGATGCAATCATGTTTATTTAAGCTTAATATTAACTTAATAAAAGCATTTCTAGTTTTGTGACAGAAAAAGAAATCAAATTTTAGTTCCAAATGGGCAGAATGTTCTTTATTGAATATTGATATACCATTGGATAAAAAATACTTGTACGATATTCGTGCTTTATTTCCGTACGAAAAATTCCCGTTACTTTTGCATCTACTAATTAAGATCTTCGTTTGTTTAACAGCTGAGAAATGTTCGTATCAATTTATGTACGTTATTCAATATAAACCATTAATCCGTTTTCGATTTGTCCTGTTACATCGATGGTATTACTTTTCATTCGGCTTTCTTTAGAACGCAATATTAATTAAAAACAGAAAGAAAAAGGAGAAACGCAAGAACGTTTGAACGTTTGAACGTTTTAGAAACGGTACTACTAACGATATTTGTAGCAAAAATATACAGGCCACGTGACGGCTTCAATATATACGCTTCGCAAGTCCTTACAAGAAAGAAGAAAAACTTAACAGACACAGGAGAAAAGAAAGCTATTTTTTTTTTTTATATATAAAGAACATAACGGTTAACGACGTCGAACAACCATTACTCAATGTCAGTCAGGCGCGGCTGTACAAATCATTGATACCCACTGACAATGAGCTCGTTGATTGTACACTTGTACTTAAGAATCTAGATTTCATTATGATACTGGTCGCACGAATTTCACAAACGATTTTTAATTACATCACGAACAAAACTAGTAACCCATGCTACTCCGCTCGATTAGTCCAATAATTATATTTATGGATGCATCGTACATGCGTTATTGCCAATAACATATGTACCGCTTCATCTTCGTACAGTTGTTCGCAGTTCTTTTCAGAGATACATTAATACTAACGTTCCTTATCTAATTCGGTGTGTCGATAAGTCAAGAAATTATGGATTAATGTTTAATGAACAATGAACTATATACTTTTGTTGAAAATTTTATGCAATTTCAATTCTTCCGATTAAACGATGCACTTACCATTAAAATGTTTCCATCGCTGAACGCTTTAATGAAGAATTTGTATGGACAACGTACGAAGATGAAACACAAAGAACGGAATATGTATATTTATATACACGAATTGGAGCATGTTTATGAATGCATATATGCATGGATGTACGTACGTGTCTGTCTATATGAGGATGTATTTCCATGTGTGCCTATAAGATGTGTTCCATGTGTACGTATACGCGCACGCGCGTATGTTGTGTGTGTGTAAGTGTGTGGTATGTATGTCGAAACAAGTCGCATAGACGTTCTGGGAGTGGAATCAAGTATTCTCAAGTATATTAAAGCAAAAAAAGGATTAAAAGGATTGAAATTCGCTTGTTAATAACGTATACTCGATAATAGTTTGAACATTAATTTTGCCATATAGCGAAACTTATCATTACTATTCACCAGAATTAAATCACCATGGAAAAAGAAAAAAGAATTCCGTAACGGCATACATAACGAAAAGCGAAACCTGTTTATAAGCGAAGAAAGACGTATCGTCCTTCCATGAGAAGAAGGCACAGCGTGTTTACATCCCCACTCTTGCTGCAGTCCGCTGATTGGCTGTCACCGGTCTTCGTCACCGTTTCCGACCAATACCTATGAGTCAGCGGACAGCAACAGGAGTGGGGATGTAAATACGCAGTGCCTTCTTCTCGTGGAAGAATAGTACATGGATAGCCATAGTCACGTAAATTTTAGAAACACATGTGTAATAATACGCGTGTATTATTTTTAAAAAGCGACACTCGTCTAACGTTCCTAGTGGTGACATTAATGTGCGACTGTTCTCTTTATTATGACCTATTCTTTTCATTGACTGGCCAACATAAACTCTAATGTGGCACAAATAAATTTCGTCCATTACTCGTTAAATGTCATATTTCATGCATCACATAAATAGAGCTCGAATTACAAATGTCACGATATATATATATATGTATGCATATATATACATATATGTACTACTACAAATTTTCTTGAGCGTACGCCCAACACACAGATTAAACTTTCGTGCCGATTCCAAGAACATGAACCGTTTTGTAGAACGGTATAACAAAACTGAGTCATACTAAACGAGTCACACAACCAAATCTTATATTTTTGTATATTTTTCTTTTTTTTTTTAATTATTCGTATGTTTATTCCTCGATTTAAAAAACTGGACTCTAAAGAGCACTTTCGAGATGTCGATATACCAACGTATATGTGTATGTACATCTATACAATCCTTATTTATTTTATTCCGTTACATTAAGGAAATATATACTACCTAATATTGCTATGCGATCCCTACACGTATAAATATGATTCAAAATGTAAAACGTAACCTTCCAAAGCTGTTTAGAATAGAATTTAAGATAAATGTTCCATAATGTTACTAATTAAGGATTAAATACGAATGATAATTATGGTATACTAAATGTAAAGCATTAAAGGTATCTACAATCATTATTTTTAGCAACTAACACTGCACGATTTACTGTTTGAAAGTGTAAAAAAATATTTTTTATATGAAAAACTTGTGATCTCTTTATCTGAATAGAACGAATTAGTAATGACTAAGGTATTCTTGATTTCTCTACGATGTGCAGAATTTGAAAACGTTTATAATCGATGCCATATCTTCTAAAACCTTGTAATATGCAACTGCAAGATTGCCATTGTGAAAATTGAGTGTCTTATTTCAAGATACTTCTTCACGTAGTAGCTTGGTTGTGTGCTCGTTCTCGTGGCTGAATTAAACGAACGAAATCGTCCAGTAAATACAAATGGTAATAACAAAACACGCGTTTACCCCCAGAAATATCGCTATTTTCATATTTAATCGTTTACTGATTACTTTTAACAAATGTATATACCCAAACAACTTTTTAATGAATTGCACGATGAATGAAAAAATTAAAATATAATAAGATAGAATGAAACGAATGAAAGCTCACAATGATAAAAAACACTTAGAAAAATTCTCAATATAACTATCTAAATTGCTAACCATCGTGTCCGTCCTGTTGAAAAGACAGGAAGCATGGATTGCGCAAACGCATTTCACAGAATGTTTACACAGTTTCGTACGTACGTACACATGTGTACTCGTAAAAAGAAAAACTAAGATTAATATTATTTGGAATAATTACGATTCTTAGTAATTCCGAACGTAAGAATCAATTCCAGATAAAATGATCATGTCTCACATTCACAAATGCGATTGGCGATCTAATCACTAATTACTGAAAAATCTATGCATACGGAACCAAACACTTCACTGTTTGCGCGGCAGCCTTCTTAGCCATCAAAGGAATTATGCTTTAGATTAATTCAGTATCTTAAGTTACCTAGTTAATGTTGTGTTTTGTGTATTAAATCATTATCGTAACAATTATTTGTTGGGCACACACCGAATTAAAGTCTCAGCTGTAAGCACACGTCAAACTTTTCTTTCTTCCTGATTCATATTCATTAGCCATCCTCTTTTGGTGGGGTGAACCAACCTATAAGTATATTTAAATACACAATATATTCTATGTAATTAGTTTAGAAACAACACCATCAATGTATGGTTACATATTCAATTTTATATATGAAAAAAGTAGATATAAATGAGAAACTATTTATTATTAAAGCGTGATTAATTTTCGAAAAAATACAAGTCTTTTTACCATTTCTTTATTTTTCTAATTGTAAGAAATCTGTAACAAGTATATTAAAAAATTAAATCATACTAAAACCAAATTTATACGAGCAAATAATCACAGAGCGCCAACATTGCATACAAAGTTTGCAAATAGATTCCACAAATTTTTAATATACTTTACTACAATATATACCTATACACAGTATGCATATTATTACAATAAAATTATGGATAATAAGAACATCATACTCGAATAGCAGTAAGAATCTTATATACAGTATTATACTTTTTCTAAAGCCGTGTATTCGTCTGAGTATTTATTCTAAATGAGCAAATAGTGAACACGCGCTTGGTTTACGCTCTACCCTAATTGCATTTTTATATAATTTACTATAAAATGAAATGAACGACTTACCATTTTTTTCATGTATTTGTACAAGAGACTTGAATGACTGTTGTGCACGTGCTAGACTGTATTGACCTTGTCCACCACATACTTTGCCAGCACTACCAGATCCTTGAAACTGTATGCGTGCTTTTCCCTTCACTAATGTTGCTGATATCTGCATGATGACTGCTTCTACTGTGTAGGCTGAACTCCAACCTTGTTTCGTTAAGAGTTCCATACAAATAGCGCCTCCTATAAGGACATATCCACCAGAAATCATAGGATGAACAACTCTGACAAACGGAGGATCGAATGGATAAGTTTCCTGCAAGTGTAAAAATAGGTGATAAATATTTTCATCCGTAAATTTATCATTTTGTATTCTACATTAACATTGTACAATTTGATAAAATAAATAAGTTTGAAATAAGTTTGTACTGAAAGCTCTGTGCATATATTTTTATTCATCAAACGTAAAGTTAATATAAAATTGTTCAAAGAATGGAGATCCAAAGCAGTTTTGCGATATTTTTATTACCGGTTATTGGCATAAAAATTAAATGATTTCAAAACTTTGCATTTATTTATATAATGTTAAGTACATTCTTAAAAACAACAAAATATTATTTATATGTAAAATATTTTAAGATCAATATAACTAAATGTACTGGAGATTCGTGTAAGAGAAATAGCTTCAAATCAATTTAAATATACCTTGAAAAGCATGTTGAGTAGAATACTATCTTTGCCTTCCTTTTCTTTTAGAAGTATAAGATCGCTGTGTAGTGGCGAATCAGGATCAACGCACATCAACCTGATATTCCATTCATACAAACTGTCATTCACTAATTCTATGCTGTACATTCCTGTGATAGATATAAGCAAAATAGTCAAACATATTGAGAAATTTTAATTGAGTAAAATTCCGTAATATAACTATAAATAGATAAGATTATTACGAAGTTACCTTTTTTGAAACTGTCACTTCGATAAATGTCGCGCAATTCTTTCATAAGTCTGTCTGTAGCTTGGACACTTCCACATGGAGAACCCTTTAAGTAGTCTTGTCTTTGATTCTGTCTCAACCTTTCTAGTGTTGCAAGATGCTCTAGATCCATTTCCTCACCCTTTAAAGTAAACTCAATACTAATACGAACGAATACAAATTCAAAGAAACGAATACAAGAGAAATACATTTTAGTAAAATCATTAAATACAGATATTTCAATATAGAAATAATTGTATTTAATATTCTCCCATGTTTACCTTACTCTTGGCATTCACATCTCCCTCGTCCATATCTAAATGAAGGTCTTCTTCAGTCTCACTTTCCTCATCTTCATCAATATCTTCTGCATCGTCAGCTTCCATCCTTTGCGCAGCAGTTTCATTTGGTCCTCCTAAGCGCAATGGATCCAAAGCTGTTCTTAATCGTTCGACGTCAGGTGGTTCTGGTAATGAGTGAAGTCTACATAATTCTTTCAAGAGAATCCCAACTTGATTAATGAGATGGTTGTCACGGCCTGTGGTATTACTTAAAATTTGTACCGCATTTGTGACACTCGTCTCCTCTGACTCTGCAAACCATACTGGTGGTGTAGAAGGGTATGTTTCCTGTGAAATATTCATTAAGATTTATAACAATTTATTAAGTATAACAATACTAAATCATCTTAACCCATTGAGAGCTGAATACTCTTGGCCAAAGTGCTCATCAAATTCTCTTAATGAATTATTTTATTAGGTACGTTAAAATCTATAACATACCTAAACTTAAATAATAAAATTTATTTTTAAAATACTAATAATCCTAGTGCAGTAAGTTAGAGATTGAAAAAATTGACAAACACATATATGCATCTATGTGTCCACACGGATAGCTCTAGTAGGGCGCATATGTGTATCCATAACACTCAAAGGGTTATTGATTAATCAAGTTTTCATTTAATATATGCAATGAGTCATACAAAATAACACTTATACAACATACTTTAGAGAACTTAATAGTATTTAAAAATGTTTAGTTTCAAAAGTAAACTATTTTCTATATCAGTAACAATATTTCTATAGTTCCCTGGAAAAAGGACGTATGATACAAATGCTTGAACTTGACTCTATTGTAAAACTATAATCAATATGGTATAATTTTTAGTTACTTTCTCCTTAATGAATTATTAGTTACTTCCTAAAATGAAAAATTGCATACGTTACGCTAGCTGTATTGAGTAGTTAATAGTTTTTCCACGATCCTCAAAAACTTATAAATTGTAACATACATCCTTTACCCAGAAAATTATTCATTTAATCATATATTTTAAAGCCCGTTATAGCACTTCAAAAATGTTAAAAATCCTGTATTTCATATAGTAAAATTCATTCATTGTTTCAGTAAACTAAATTGTTAGTTCGTAAGTTCCAAATAGACATGACTTAATGTTCGTTTCACTGTGGATGATGCATCAAAAAAAAATTATAAAGAGTCGAAAAATTCTGAGCACATTATAAAATGAAGCTGTTAAAAAAAAACATGAATCATTTTCATCAATTAATTATAATACTAGAGAAAAGTAGAGTAAAACTGGATGCCTAATGTATTTTTCTTGCTGGAAAAGATCAAATGGCAAAAAAAGTTAGAACACTGCCAAAAATCTTAATTGGGCCATATAAGATGAGAAAATAACAATTTTTCATTAAAAAACTATTTGATCCAAAGAAATATCAAATCTTTCAAAAGTAATATACACCGAAGACTATCTCACATTGCTATAGACGTTAATGACTAAAGCAATTCTTTTTTTGTATCAGTAATAAAATTCTTTAATTATATTTGTTTATAATAACGAAATAACAATAAAATAACAGAAACGCATAAAGCAAAAAAATTAAAAAGAAATTTTATCTCTAGTAAAATATAATAATTATGAAAATTTGATAATTGCGAAATACTCTTTTTGGTAATAGTTTATACAGTAAAAATTTATGTTAAGCAACATTTATATAACATATTTATCAAAAACGGTTGTACAATATTTAAATATGAATTCATTAGCAATTGTACTTGGTCAATGCCGTGTTCATAGATAGGTATTACATGAATGGTAAATTAATTAATACTGGTTACAGTGTCAAGTAAAGTGGACAAATATTATCGATTTTTCAATACACGAACAAAATGTAAATAATAACGTAATCAATGCATCTATAAATTAAAAATGTGCGTTACGTTATGTGACATTTGATATAAAAGACGACAAAATTTGAATAGACTTTTCGCGTTAAATATCAGATATATTTAAAATACCACACAATTCGTAATTAAATAGTACGAAAAAAAAAGATAGCTATCATATATTTAAATTTGCTTGTAACCCTTTAGAATAATTCACTCAGCAAGGTAAACAAAAGGAACGTAAAACGCAATTCTTTAAACAGAAGCGATATATTTTTACATATACACCCGATAATAAATTTAAGCTTCGATAATCGGTATCTTAAATTATCCATTACAAATCAATCAACTTCATTCTAAACAATACTATATGATGAGATACAAACAAGTCTTTCTCTTCTATATTTACATATTCAACAAAGAATTGTGCGATACATAATATTTATATATACATAGATAATTTCGTATCAAAAGCAACGGTAATGGCAACGGTAAGAGCAACGCAAATGGATATATGTACTCGTTGTTATCTAGTTTATCTATACAAATTATCTGGTGTACACGAAATTAGTAAATAGTTTGGTTCCGTGCAAATACGATGTAACTGTTTAAACAGGCAACGGATATATGCTAAATCTTTTTTCGCAAGTACAAATGGACATTATAGATATTATTACAAGGGGTAACCCTCTATTTGTAACATACATTGACTTCTACCGTAATGTTAATTCGTCTGAAAATCTCCACGGGAACTACCTCATTGAAGCGAGAAAGAATCGATCGTAGCTACAACAAAATCTTCTGCAAGGCAACAAGAAATCGTGGTAACAAAAGCGTGCATGGTGAATACACGGTAAAGTTTTCCCTGAGCATGGCTCTTGTCAAAAGCCTCAAATAATAACATGAATGTTATTGTTTCTTTGTCCGATCAGTCGTAGACAGCAATGGGAGTTAACGTGCCATCGTGTGAACAGAAAAATGCTGTTGATGGTCCAGAACCAATTTACTGTTTCAAATTGTAACCATGCTTGTTACACTTACTGTGATATTGGCGTGTATTTCGTATTTCTTCCCATTTTTACCGACGAACCTGCAGCTGAGTTCATCCACACTCGCAGACATTATCTGAAATCTCTCATGGCTCTTAGGGAAGACGGACTCAAGAGTTTTAATCTCCTGCTTAAGGGTAATCAGACAAGCCATTTGGGGGAGCGAACGTAAGTGCCGTACCCCAAATTTTTCGGCGGTGCTTGCCCCAAAAAACACAGCAACCCGAAAGAAACACGACGTACCCGATGACTACCCGACAAAATGGCGACCGCGACTGACTGCTTCGGCCAGTCTCGTGCAATTTCGTTTGCTCTCGTCACAGATGCCAGCACTGAACCATTCAAATATACATGACGTCTTTCCGGTACAGCTGAGTATGATTTAAATTATTATGGCATTTAAAAGCCGAACCGATTACTATTTAAAATAATAAAGAAACAAACGAATACATATAAAATGGTATTTTAAATATAATGAAAAACAGTTTTATCTGAAGAAACAAAATAAAAATAGTTTATACTTTAAATATATGAAATTTTTTATCGAAGATGAAAATAAAGTAAAAAAAATATAAAAAAAACAATAACATAACTAAAAAATTTTTGAATTCGTCTCTATTTGAGAGAGAATTTATTTATATTCTATTATCTTAAAGAAATAAATTTCAAATATAAACTCTTATTTTATCATTTTTGAAACTAAATTAAATTACAATTTTAAAGAACTTGTCGCGAAAATAGAAGTAGAACAATGATTTCGAAAAATGACTTAAATTTGTCCTATATTTGTTATTTTTAGTAATACATTTTGAATAGCTTGTAAAAACATCGAATGAAAAATAATTAACACTTCATTAATTATATCATGAATTTATTTGAAATGTCTAGTATTTCTAATTCTTATGGTCTATATGTACAGATGATAATGTGATAAAGTATAATACACGCATTATTTTAACATGTGTTAACAAATAAATGCTCTAATCTAATATACTAAAAATAATTAAGTTCTAATTTTTGGACTGGGCCCACAAACCTCCGTTTCTCTTTCTTTTTTTATTTCGAAACGCAGTACGTGTAATACATTATTCTACTAGCCCCTTGTTATAACACGAAGCAATCAATAATGTACAGTATTGTATGTACTGGAATTGCTATTAAAATAATTCAAGAAATTCTTCATACTTCATAAATTCATATTCGCGCGCCCTCCATAAAATGTATATTTCGTAATTTTTTGTTTATGCCTTTTGTGTTATTATTCATACATTCAAAAATTGCATTTACTTATTTATAACAACGCGTATACAATGCAATATAAAAATAACGTATCAACAAAATCAACTTCACTGATATTTTATATCAATATGTTATACACACATGAAATTCAAATAGTTTTTGTTAACCGATAATTATCATGCCGGTGTCTATATTACTTCCTTTACCAAAATACGACAATTTTAATCTGCCGCGCTATGAGATGTAAACAATAAATATTACGTTACATATTATTCTACAGACTTTTCCATTGAACATTTCTCCTGTACGAATTTCTTGTGTTATTTTTTTCGTTAATATTAGAAAAGTTAGACACCAGTCCATAATAGTTAGGTCCTTTCAATGGCAATAGAATCTTTGAAATCATATGACTAAATGTAGTTTTTATAAATAACAAAATAGACCATTTTCACCGTAACAGGATGCCTAAGCCTTTCTCTTATATGAAAAATCCATGATGGTCAATATTAATTTATTACTATAAATACCTATTTCCATACATATATACATACACATCTTTTTCACATATACATACTTAATTTTTGTTTTATGTAATAGTAATAGCGAATGTGAAAGTTAATCAGTCAGTAATACTAATTTAAGCCTCTGTTTTAGGAGCAGGATCAGTTGAAACTGCGTACTTGTACGCCATAAAGGATTTCATTTTTATTACTTAGTCATACCCTACTTTTTCCATTAAACAGAGTAACAAACATTCAGTGAATGTTTTTGTAAATATGGAAAATTATATTAAATAAATATTTTTAACTTTTGTACCCATATGAAGTTGTCGATTAAAACGGAAGACCATCTCAAGCGGCTTTTTACATGTTTCACGATCTGTCAGGTTTGGACTCGAGAATAATTTCTTTCGTTTTTCTATTTGCAAAACTTGTAAAATGTTACACCTTTTTCTTTACAGAAATTAAGATGTCATATTGATGTTTGAAATTAACATTCATGAGATATGTTACTCTTGATGAGTACTTAACAATTATGAAATTTACTAATAAAAAAAGAATTAATAAATACAGTTTATCATTTTATAAGTACATTACAGTACAAATGATTCTTCAACCATGAATTTGTTAAATAATTAACGATATTTTATTAATCGTAATACAGAGGAACGAAGTATATATTGATTCTAAAAAAAAGAAAAAAAAATGTAAAATCGATTGCGTTGGATTTATACATTTTCTGGAATGATTATACCCATAAAATAGTAAATAGTAGAAAATCTCTCATAGACACTGACGACACATATCTCATTGATTGTTAATGCGTGCCAGGTTTCTAATGGTATCCTAAGCTGTATTTTTTATTATTTTTTTTTTGTTGACTTAAATATTTACAACACTGACAATATCTGAACAAAATAAAATGCATCACTGTGTACGGTGTTCTTGATAACTGAATTTTAGAAAATATAATTTTCCAATATTCAAATATTTACCTAATAAGTCTTGATAAACTCACGTCACAATTTATATTAAACCATTGTTGTGAATTAGTAACATTTTTAAATTATTTTGCAGCTAGTTATCAGGATACGTATTAGCAATAGCTAGGAACTTGAAGAAGCATTACTTCCATCTCTTTAAATATACAAATGCCAAATTTTTTTGATATCCGTTCAGTATGCAATGTAGGTGAATTTTAAACAACACACCTACAGCATTTCATGTCCATTAACGAATCGTATATCAGCACTTTCTTTCTCCGAATCACATTACGATTAGAACTTTCAGTTTATTTACAAAGAAATACTACACGTAAGATAGATATTCTGCAGCAGAGGTAGAAAAATGAAATGAAATGAAATAGAAAAAAATGAGGAATGGTCTTGATAATTATATTTTCTGTTTTTGCCTTTCTTTCTCTTGTCGGGTTCGAATTCTAAACGAAATATTAGAGAAAAGTGTTATTAACCTTAATATAAAAGCATATTTAATTGCTAACTGTGCAACGCTAGTTTTATACATCTCAGTTTTATTTACAAGCAGACTCTCGTCGCATAGATACACTTTGGAGAAAGAAGTAGCTTTTAGTATGTCACAGATTCCTTGTATATAAAAGGTAATCATCAGTTGTATGCACTCTCTGGCACATGACGTCAGTATAGATTCCATCTGTGGTTTGCGTTTTTTCAGAGCATATAATGCTGATTTGTTATATATGAGTCAAAGTAATCGGCTTTTTCAGAATGCCGAATGATAATAATCATAGGTAGGCCAGTAAGGCTGTAGCCAGTCCTAGCTGGTGCGTTGACGCTTTTTGGCAGGATGTTCCTCAGAGGAATGTGCTGGTGCAGGTGGAATCACCATATCTCCTCTATTGAACATGTATTTCAATTGAGGCATGTATTTCATTATACTCTTTACTTGTATTAAAGGTAGCTCTTCATTCAAGGATGAACACTTTCCTGCCTCCATTAGCATTTTCATTTGTAACCTTGAAAGATAAGTGTTTTAAATATAATATATCATTTAGTTACATTTTTAAATTAATACACTTTGTATGCCATATTTATATAAAAAATTAAAACATTATGTCTATAATCCTCTTTTATTATGGACGAACAAATGCAGATGTAAATTTTTTATAAGATTTATTTTTTATTTTAGAAAGTATATCAAGCAGTGTGAAAGAACGAGATTTAGCAAATAACCTACTCTCATTTAATCCTAACTTATTACCTAACCTAAACATAACATGAACAAAAGGATTCTGCCAAGTACAAACTATATGTTTAAAGAAGGTGTAGGTATCTAGAAAACATATATTGACTGAGAGAGTAAGAATAGTAGATATATACATAGGAAAAGAAGTTTGAAATTTAGTAATGCGATGAACAGATACAAACATATTTAAACAGAACTTAGTAATTGAAGCACTTTCAGTATATGGGAATATATTGAAGTGTTATAAATTAAACAAGTAAATCGGAGACTTTAAATATATACACTCATAAAAAAAATCTAGCTACGCAACTTAAGGAAAGGTGTGCATAAAACTATTATATTCCATTTTTATAAAAAAAATGTATGAAAATCCAGGTAAATGGTTAACATTTATCCCCTCAATATAGGTGTACTTTCCGCTAGCGGTAACCATGCATCTGTATTAGTATCACTAGGTATTTTCCCATGAGTATACGACAATTAATACTCTTACCTATTTCCTTGATATAAGTCTATGTGCAAGACATCTGTAAGAACTTGTCTACAACTATTGATGTCATAGGCTGGAAAATACTGAGCGACGAAATCAGGAAGTGTCATCAACAATTCAGAATAGATGTATGGCTTGAAATTAATACAAGGTACCATTTTGTCTTCGACAAGTGCTTTCTGAATTTGATAAGGTTGAACTTGACAGGTTGATGTATGTGTTTCTGGTATTGGTATCAATTGCTTTCTACCTCTCGCATCTCTAAAATTATAGAATTCAATATAATAACAAATTAATTACTTATTTTCCCTATAACAATGTTCCTTGTTTAAAAAACAGAAAATGTATGATCTTGTACCTGGAATTATTATTGTTGCCATTAACTGGTATTAATGGTGGTGGATATTTTGCATGAGATGTGTTGTGTACGGATGGCGTATGCCTTTCTGAATGCAACAATGTAGATGCTGATGTAGGTGATGGCATTAAAGCTTGTACTTGTTCACTTAAACCAAGCATTTGAGGGTATGTATTCGCAGTGACAGCATTAGGTACACCTAAAGTAGGTGTAGTATACGTAGATGTAACCCTAAAATAGAAAAATTTTATATTAAATTTTTTTAAATATAGAAATTTAAGATATACTTTAAATAAGCGATTTGTAATACTTGGGAAAGTTATGAAATATTTAATAACATTCACTACTGTATACATTTCATGTATAATCTATACCTTTTTGTAAACAGTTTCGAATACTTTAAAATATGTACATTAAATATTAATTAACTATGTACATTAAGTATCAAATTTTAACTATTTATAATGTTACAATTAGAGATTCCCTACAAAATGTATACATTGATTCATTATATTTATTAACATTAAAATTATAATATTATAACAGTATTTTATACTATTTACATAAATTTGTAGCACTTTATTTACTAATTGTTTAAAGAAAAAATATTTTGAGTTAAGAACCAAATTCATATATTATTGTAAATAGAATAATAAATAAATAAATTGAATAGTTGTAATACACATGTAATATTTTATAATAATAGTGATAAATAAGATTTACATTTCCCATGTATGTTAACAACTAATTTAATGAAGTTTACGAGAAAAAGAGGTTTATTACAATTTGAGTTATAAGTGAAAAAAAAAGAATAAAACTACACTCCCAAAGGGAATATATATGTTTAGTGAAATGAAGGAATAAAAATAGTAAACACATAAGTAATGCTTAACAAGGCAATATAGGCAATATGTAGTTATTGCAGTTTTGTATAAACCAAAGTTTGTTAATCATAGTATTCTTGTGCATGCTATCTTACTTTTATGTAGTAATCATGACTATAGTACATTTTACAGGGACTCACCAGTCATCCTTCCCATAGGTTGGATAACTATACAAAAAAATCATACGTTGTATGTACAAATGCAAAAAGCTATAGTGCAGATTCTCCACATACATAAATAATAATCTTTTACAGATACAAATATTATTATGTACTTTCAAACAAACAAAATAGTTATATAAAATTTTATACTGCATGCTCATTTTACTTTAATATATGCTGTATTAAATATTCATTTTCAAATTTTTGTATGCACTTATAAACTATAAGAATGTATAAATATACCAATGACTAATAAACATAATAAATTTTGAAATATTAAGCAAACTATTTAATCACTGAATGAATATAACATTGATATTTAATTTAACATTCTTTCATCTTATGTACTTTGAACGATGTATTAAATCAAAGGAATTGTAATTAACTTTCAAGTAGAGAATAATATTAAATATATATAGATATAAAAAATATATTTCATTGTGAGCTTTTTAACATTGAACTCACATCTAATTAACCAAAAGTAAGTACAAAGTATCAATGCTATGTAAAACAAGAAAAAATATTTAATTTGTAAGAAAACTGTCCTGAATATTTGAATGCTTTATCAAAAAACACATAAAAAGAAATAGATGTCAAGTTTTTGTTACTTACCCAAGATTAGGTTGACTGGAGTGGACTGTTGCTCTGACAAGAGGGGGTGGTTGGGCCTGAGCAACAGTCTGCATAGTTGTAACTGGATATACTCCAGGGTACTGAGCTGCTGTTGCACTGCCACCACCCCCTCTACTTCTACTAGTTTGTTGTGAATAATTTTTTGATTGCGTAGATATTTGCTGCAATTGAAAAATATATAAATCAATGTATAATTCCAGATTATGTATTAAAAAATTATAGCTTCATGTTACATTGATCAAAATATACTGTTTAGAAACTTTTCACAATGTTATCCTAAAATAAGTTTTTACTGAAAATGCATAACGAACAAAACTTTTAATATGCAATGTAGCTTAAGCCTAAATTTAAAAAATAATATTTATTCTCATGTTAACATTTATTTAGTATACGAGAAGCCAGGAGTTTATTTATGACATCATGAATTTTTTATGTTTTAGTAAATTTACTGTAAACTAAACCAACATTTGATTTCAAGTAACTTTTTCCACTAACATTTTATCTTATATTACACAATACAGTAAATCCTTGTTAATTTGTTCCAAAAATGTACGTCTAAGTCAAATTATATAAATATAATACTATATCCTTATACTATATATGTGTATATGTATAAGAATTTGAAAAAGAATAATTTATATAATATGTAAATACATGCAAATATACAAAATATATGTAAGGGCATAAGTGGGGTTAAAATCATGTATCTATGAATTCTGTGTAAACTTCAACATTTACTGTATTCTTAAATATGTTTTAATATTGAGAAATACTTAGTTTATATAGTAAAAAAAATGAAAAAAGTAGTCACTAATAGAAACTTACACTGTGCATGTTTAAAGTTGAGGGCATTCGTATAATAGAATTTGCCTGAGAAACGAGTGCTGTTTGGAAAGTGGGCTGACCACCGACAAGTCCTGTCCAACCATTAACATTTTGCACCGTGTTCAACATTGGTTGTGTTACGATGTTTGGCCTGCCAGAGGAAAGCGTTGTTGGTGAAGAATGTGCAGGATGCGTAGTCACAACTGGCCTTGGCTGAGTGACACCACGCTGTACTTGCGATGCATTGGGGACTGATCCACGTGGTAACATATTATGCATGGGAGTAACACGCGCATTAAGTGGTGTTTTATTCACATTATTTTGCACAGTAACGGGTTTCGTCGCCGGTGGTGTTGGAGGTTGTTTTGTCCATCCACCACCAGTACCACTACCTTTGCTGGTCACTAACAACTGGGAGTCCATAACCTTAGTTGGCCAATAGTCTTCGAATCCCGTACCGGGTGGGAAGTAACTTTTAATGTCATTCAAACTAATCACCGAGCATGTCTCACTTGCAAACAGTTCATTACGAATACCCTGTACTTTGCAACAAAACTTCAAATACGACAAGTCCCAACCTTCGAGCTTCTCCGCTTTCAATTTCAGATTCTCGGTCTCGCCCTCAAAATAAAACAGAGGGACGTATTGAAGACCGTCTTTCACTGTGTAAGGAACTACAGATTCCTTGTTTATTCGAATAAACCCGCATTTGTCGGCCTTATTATGTCCGCCCGACACGTTAGGATTCGTGCCCGCCGTTAATTTCGTGTAACACACATCCAGAAAAGTGTAAAACTCTTTAGCGTCAGAAAGTCGAACCACCAAGTCCTTACACGTAAATTGGTCTCTACCGAACTGATTCTCGCAATGCTTCACATTTATTTCGGTGAACAACTTGCTCTCGGCTTCCGTAATATAGTAACTTCTTATGCACGTGCAACTGTAGATGTCAGAGTGCAAATAACTCAGGTACTTGTTCAACAACTTAGATTCTAAAATTCGTACGGCGCAATACTTCTCGCCAGAGCGAAATATGTACGGTATATGGCAGTCGTCGAAGCTTGTCCATCCGAAACGGCCTCTTTGACTCTCATCGTCTGGTGGTACTTTACCTTCCGCAGGAAGGGGTTTCGTAGTTACGCCGGTCGACGAATCGGCCGGTCGTTTATTCAAATATCCTAAAACGCCAGGAAGATTTGTTTGCGGAAGGAGACATTGAGGTCTTTGTTGCGGCGTTCCTGGTACCCCACTGACCATTTTCGCCTTGTTTGCTTCCACCATTTTGGCAGCCAGTTCTCGGATTTCCGCTTCATCGGGAAGTTCTTGTTTGACGACAACTTTATCAAGACCTAAAAAAAGAGAAACAAAAAAGAAAATAAATTGATTACTTTCAACAGTTAACGTGTTACTAAATAGAAATTAAATTAATCATTTAACGCATACATGCGTTTCGCAACAGCAATTATATACACTTTTATAGACGAAATATTTATCCCTCGGCGGGAAACGTATTCATGCGCGCTTGATAATTCAATTACATCTTTGTATTGCATGTAATTATAAAATCTATAAAACTACTTAACTATCGATTTTAAATGTAATTACATTAAATACGAATTAAATATACACGATTAATGTTTCTTAAAAAAAGAGAATACATTTAATACAATCAAAGATATTGTTTATAATGGAATAACAAATAAGAGATAAAAATTGTTTTCATATTCCTTTAGTATTTGTAACATTTAAAATAGTAAAAGAAAAATTGTTCAATAAACGGATAATAGGGCGAAACAACGAATTTCCATTGCAAAAACGATTCACTATAAAAAGTTCACTGTTGCTGAATTTTATTAAATCTACGAAACTGACGCGGGTAGTCGATGGAGAAGAGCGCGGGAAAACATATCGCGTGTCAATGCACGATTACGATATACAACATAGTCGGTAATGAATTCGAGTAATTATTTCATTATCCTGTCGTACACATCATATAAAACTAATAACTCTGTACAATCTTAAATTTTATTTAACAAATTAATTCGTTTAAGATTTGGACAGCTTTTTTGCCTAATAAGAAATTAATTTTCGTGATATGGAAAATTGTAACGTTTCTATGATACGGTCGAACTGTACACGTGTATGTGAGCCATGCGCATGTCAGAAACACTGTTTACCCAAAATTAATTCGCACAAAAAATGATTAATACACTGGTAGAAGAAATTACTTAAAATTTTAGACTATAATTATTGCCTGCTATCATGAGTCATAATATTTAATAAATTAGTAACGCACAAATGTTAATCACAATTGTGCACAGATTATTGCTTACACTTTCGTACAAAGCACAATTATGGAAAAAACATTAAAAATTCACTCTTTAATATATTTACACAAGAACCGTTGCATTTCATTTTTATGATACATAATACTTGTTATGTCTAATCTATAGTTTTAAAACATTCTGATTTTTGTCTAAAAAATATCACATTTTGTAAGAACACGTAATTGACGCAGAACGTAGAAATATAAAATGTTTAACTGTACGTAAATGTGCACTCGTAATTTCATAAAATACTCGGATAATTCAAAAACACCGTGCACATGACGTGTGTTAATTGACGATTCACTGTCTAGTAGTTTTCCGCACTCACTTTTGAGTGAATATTCAGGCGAGACAATGTTTGATTGTTTCCTTAACAAACATCATAAGAGGTTTAACCGAATTTTTGTTTATATCGACAAGTTTAACAACGAAAAAGAAACTGATCCTCACGCTCTTTTCTATCAACATTGATTACCAATAAAAACAAAGAGCTAATTGAAAACACGCGGACGTACACCGTCGGGAAACCATTATTAGACTTCATACATTAATTTTGGAAAACACATCTTTCTTTGATACGGAAAGATGAATTTAGGACGTACTGAGTGATACTTGATCGGGTGCAGTCTGCGATGGACTCCTTTTCTCTAGCCATATGGCATCCGTGCTGCTATCAGCATTTGCTGTGTGCATGTCCGTAATGTCGTTCCTCATCTTCGACGATTGAGCGTGTATTTTATTTTAATCGTAATCACATTTCGATGGATGCAAAGGTGGACGCAAACCAGTGAAGAGGTTATACGCGAATGCGTCTGCCTACCGATGTACACTGTCGATGAGACGACACACGACCATGTTACACGACGAGAAGCGAACAGGCTTGCACGGAAAAGTTCCCCTGTTTCGACTCTCTTGACTTCTAGTTTTCACGCTTTCCCTCGACGTTTCACTTTGTCTGCTGATTACAATTATAGCAGGTGGCGCGAAACAGTTCACCACGCACAACTCTCGAGGGATACATTAGGGAGTAGATAAACGAACGTAGTAGACTGTACCGTTGACACTGACTACGTACATGTTCTTTGAACGGGCGTACCTCTAGACCCCGGCGAAGCTTTGCCATGGATTAAGGTGTTCTCGTTCGAGGGTAGTGCCATTTTACGCGGACCTGGCCTCTGTAAATCTCCGATTTCAGGCCGTCCAGTAGGCCATGCCGTAGCATCGAGCTATCTGCCTGCAGCTGCACGGGACACTAGGCATTCCACGGTCTAGCCAACCACGAATCCTACAGACCAAAGCGGCACGCTTGATTTTCTATCCAGACTGTACTGCTAGGTACGTGCCAGTATCGTACTCCGCGCACACATGTCTAGTTCACTTTAACTTTCCATTTTTAGGAATCTATTTGACGTTTACATAAATTTGATGTTTTTGACAAATCAATCTTTCTTATATCCAGCTTTTAATTCGTTATATTTTTGTCTATTAAATTTTAACTTTGAAGCTAAGCGAACTACTTGACGCTCAGAATTTAAAATGTAAAACAAAAATTATTCTTAATTTAGTAAAATATATTCTTTGATCTTTATGACTTCGATCGCGATGCCTAGCTTTAAATGATGAACGATAAACTTTTGTAAAATAAAATTACAATTCGATATATAAATTCGCAATACGTTTACGTTTCAGCCATAAGATTAAATAATTGAAAATCTAGTTTGAAATTTTATGCTATTTCTACAAATCTGTTGTTCGAGATAAAAAAGAATTGTCAAACTATCCGGTAACTGTCGCCATCTATCTACTCCATATAATATTATTAATTAAATAAAATCTAATTTCTCGATATAAATTGAATATAACGCATGCGCCAATAATTTGTTTTAAGTTAATGTAAAAGTAATTTAAACGCAAAAAATTTAAAACAGAAATATATTGTTATGTATTATAATGCCTATGTTGTTGTAAGTTAAAAATTAATGTAATGTGAAGAACTATTTGTTAATCTATTAATAACAAATAACTTATGAAATATAAAGAAAATTTTTTTTGTACTAATTGCGATATAGCCGCGTACTTTGATGTTCGATACACAGAGGTATATAAGAGCGTTGCGTGGCGGCAGTCTTTAGTCGAAGCTGAACAGTGACAAGAGAAGGGTGTATTCAATTTTGTGGTATAAACTTAGTAAAATTTTGTATAAATCACGATTTAAATAATTATTTTACACTTTGTGACTATATATGTACGTGCATAATATTGTTCTGTATTATAATTTTTGCCCCAAAACATTAAAACACAAAAAAGTATAAGGAAACTTGGCAATGCTGTTTCAATCTTAATACTTTATAACCAAAAAAATACAAGTGTCAAGAAAGTTAAGGAAAAATAGAAAAATCTATATATCCTCCTCCGTTAATACGCATGTCTGTTCCGTGCCATGTGAATGATGTTCAAGTCTCAACTAGTAAAAGTTTTTATCACACACGTTTCAAACATACTTTATCATAGATTAACAAGTTAATAATGTATAAACATATAAGAAATATATATGTTTGAAAATTTGCACAATGAACCTCATTTCCGCATTGTAACGATTTGAAACTGACTGTACGCACATTGCCGACAACGAATAAGAACTGTAGGAGGAGCGAAGCAGAAACGGGTGGCGAACCTTATAGCACATTCCTCGTATATATCGTATTTACACGGAGCAACGCGTTTTCGAAAGACGTTAAAACTATAAATTACGTTTCTTCGCATTTTATGTATTAAATAGTATCATTTAATAACAATGTCAGCCACAGTGAACGTTCGCGAATAATAATTATACTAATTTTTAACTAATTATTCCTTCATGCCTCCATTATAATATAGGTAGCATAAAAATAACTGCGAATTTAAACATTATAATTCATAAATATAACGCATGCGACTAGACGAACTGTTACGAACAGAATACGTTAATGATTTTATTATACTAAGGATAAATACTTGTAGAAAAATATACATAAAATAAAATTTTATACATGAACTTAATAATAATATACCTATTGCATTTATATTGTAAATGTTATAAGAAAATTTATGATTTAATAGTTACAAGATACTATTTTTGTTTCTTGTTATTTTTCCCTGTGAGAATGACTATACAATGTCATAAAATGTACCGGTTAAACATGTTCTATTTTGTGAAAAAATTATTGATGCGTTAAATTATATTAGATTTTCTATTCAACAAACTTTTTATGGTTCTACGATTTTTATCTTTACAATGTCATAACATTGGGTTGATTACTTTTGCATTAATCATCTCAGGATATTCATTTCCATTAGAGAAATATTGTATTTTCTCTAGGTACGTTACTGAATCATATAAATAGGTGAACCATATATCGTTGATCAGATTTCGCACCGTGTGTCAGGGATCGGCTGCAGCAGCTAGGTACATACCGCTCAAAGAGTGGCCAGGGCTAGCGCGTAAGATCGCACGGACGATGTGACAACGTCGCACGGTCGATATGCTCTTTCAGGCAAAGTGCCAAGATTGGTAAACGCACGCGGGGGTATATAGTCGTGGTTTCAGGTGCCCTTCCCTCCCCTAACGCCCGCGTGTCACCCCCCACTGCCACTTCTGGAACTTATCCGTGGGATTCTGCGTGATAGTGGGGGTTAAATAACAAAAGTGGGGGAATTGAAGCTGCGCAGAACCCGGCCAGACACACATCACTGTTTGTGCCTTTGCGCAGCTCTTACATACATATACCCGACAGCCTCCTATGTACTACATATGTATTATACTTATTATTTTAATCATGATTTACGGCTGCAGCGTTGCCAGTTCTTGCTGCAGGCACGCCCACTCTCTCTTACTTTTTTCACTTTTCAATAATACATACGAATACATAGAATAGAATATGTATGCGGAAAAGGCAACGTCGCTTGATCGATACTTAAAGAAATATACAAAAAAATGTATACAAAATGCGTTTATCGTTATTATATTAATACGATACGAGTCAATTTTTAAAGCATACTAGAATACATAGTTTATACATTGATAATCGAATATAAATGAAATTTGAAAGAATAATAACAAATTTGGAAAACTAATTAAATGTAAAATAGTGAAGATGCTCGATCGCTCATTATTCGCTTTCTCTACAAGCTATTCTCGCAGTAATAAAAACATCACCATTCTGATGATGCGACGTTGCCATCACAAAATGGCTGACGCGGCCTTGATTGGCCCGATTTCTTCCACGACGTGCGCTGGGCCAGTTGTTTTGGCAACACTGGAAGGTCATAGCGATCTATTTATAGTAGTCCTCTATTGCTGCTGTTGCTATGCCGAGCAAAGGCACACTAGTTTGAATGGAGGGGAGACGATGGAAAATGGAGGGGGAAGAGATTACTAAAGAACAATATGGCGCTGAACCGGATGTGCCTTCTTCCAATCTGTCCAGTCTCTTTGCCATAACTGCAATGTCTTTCTCTATCTTTTCAACGTCCTCTGTCCTTCTCTGACAGACTCGTTTTTCCTCTATAATAATGACACGTTTCTTATTACATTTTGTTCAATTATGAAATCATAAGTACAAACATTACGTAACACAATGAAATGTTGTGCACCTAGGCACATTTAAATGAAATATGCTTCCTTCTAGCGTGACAAGACAAACGATGCGAAGGTCATCATTTTGCTCATTTTATAACAAAAGGGAAGAATATAATTGAAAAGGGTGAATGTTCGATTGCAATGATGGAAAATAGTCGCCCAAGTATGCTCTATCATTTTCGTAGACGTAATTTTTTGCGCAACTCAGTAGAATTGCACATGGCGGCGTACACTTGTAGCAGCTGACAAGTTTCATTGTGTCTGTTCCATAGTACACAAGCACGCATGCGACTTGCACGAAGCCGCCGCCTCGGAAACGCTCGGCAAAGTTCGTGAAACGGCCTCTTTGTTACATCATTCTTCGGTTCTTATGTAGTACATAGGGGCGGATACATTATGTATCGCGCCTGCACATATTTCCCCCCAACTCGCGCTCTTGTATGTACAGTACATATAGTTGCCTTAGCATATACATATATGCCGGCGGAGCAAACGGGCGGACGATCGGAGGAGCGAGCTGTGGTCCGCGTTACACGAGGCGTAGAAATGCGGAGCAACTAGAACGGACGCTAGTACACGAAGTATAGATGTTTTGTTATCGGTAATTGTATAAGTTATAATAATATTTACTAATTATTATTTGAAATTAGATTATTAGAAATCTATGATATTGTAGTGTTCAAAAATTTTTAAAAGGTTATTTTAGTTAGAACTTTAACATTTCGTTATTAAACCAATTTTTTATATAAATATAAATTTAAATTCTGAAGGAATTTGTACTCCAATAATAAAAAGCATAATTTATTATATATAACAAAGTTTTTGGAGTATGACTGGTAAATATGTTTTAAAAGGATGTGTTAATAAAACAAAATGTTTAAATATCATTAACATTAATTATATAGTCGTAGAAATTCTTATTTATATATTCTATAGAAATTAGTAACAAAAATAGCATTTTAAAATTACGAATATCCCTTGTATATTTAGAATGTCATACTTGATGGTAATAACTGTTTATTGCCTGCTACTAATCATGCTATACATGTTACGTCGAAAAGTCTGTAATTATTTTGTGTATGAAAGAAAAATAGTACCATTTTCTTTGATCATAATAATCTCAAAGAGGGCCGCCATACTATCCCCCGCCAATGTCTGCAATCGATTAACTTTCGATGTTCTTCCACCTTTAATGCTGTACCAATTACTTCTTCGCTTACTGATAGTGGAATGATCATCGATGTTGCTAATCACAGTGTTGTGTAGTATCAGTACGTATATAGTATTTCGACAGGAATTCTATTTCAATTGACTAAGTTCTAACCGCACATAAAAATAGTTGAAAAATTGGATGAAATTTAATTGATTGATGAACAAATCACGATCATTTTTAACAATCGAAAAGTATACTGCATTTATGTAAACTGCGTTGACACTGACGCATGTAATATTTTTCTTATCATTCAATTGCCATTAATATGACGGTGTCATAAAGTTACTTAACTTGATAATACAAACTATAAATATAAAATATTTTTGTTTAACAAAATATTTTCCACCTACACTAACTTTCTTTTGCAATGAGTACTCACACACGCATTATATACATATATATACTGTAATGTGTTAAGTAAACAACGGATGACTTTGTAACAGTCATTAATAGTAATTGAAAGATAGGTACACTTTTATATGTATTAAGAATATGTTCCGTTTGTAAACAATACTTGATATTCGAAAATATATATCCTTCGTATGGAAAAATTGTTGATAAAAGCCAGTACGTTTCAAGTTTCGTATAAATAACAGTTTACCTTTGTAAGAGTTGCATGATTTTCTAATTTAAGTACTCGTTATACAGCTTCTTTCTAAAAAACATCAATGATATTACCAGGATCATCTTACCATTTGCTTTAAATAAACCGTGACGTCATCCTCTGCAAGCACAGGCGGATAAAATGAAATAAGAATTAACATTCTTTTATTGATTATAGATCGAAGACGTATTGAAAATGTCTTGTTGTTAATAATTTGTAAATATTATTATATATAAACAGAAAGTTATAATTAGTACTTGACAGAATTTACAATCATGTAAACGATTGGTTTTGCAAATGATTTAGGCTGATACAAATGTCGAAACAAACATGAGAATCCTCGTATTTCTTAATTAATTCCATCATTGCACAGACACGTGGCTTTTATGTATAGTAAAATAATTAATTAACATACCAAATCTTTACACTTTCCTTTCTTACTTTTTGCATTAATGTATATCGTTCAAATATAATTCGTAGATCCACTAAAATTTTTTAAAAATTTCGTGCACATATCACTTAAAAATGAAATTATTTACACACTGTCGAATTTAAGTACTTAATAATATATAAATACATGAATTCAAAATATTATATGTATATACCTATGAATCTGTTCATTAACTATCATGAAATAATATCCACAAATGGAGTATTTTCAAATAGAAGAATCACTGACAAAAAGTACTATTTATCAGTTGTATAAATATTTAAAAAAATGGAAGACTCGATGAAAAATACATAATAGACTTTAACTACGCAAAATATATTTTCAAGTTCCATGTGTCACTGCTGCAGCAATAAGTAGTCAATAGAAATGTTACAGATGTTTGACAGGTAGTCACATCGAGGAACCACGTTTCGCCGGGTCTACACGAGGTGCAGCTCGTACAACAAAACACAGAAAGCATGATGTGTACTTCTAGGCACTGGGCACTCAACAACGTCGAGGGTAACGTGATTGGACGAGGTAGGAAATCGAGTGAGGAATACAGCAAAAGAGAAAGAAGGATGGAAGAACGAACCAACGAGAGGCAAGTGCAGACAGTAGAAGGAGAAATAGAGATAGAGCACATGAGAGAAAGAAGACAGAAGGGGTTGATACGCGCGAGTCTGATGTCGCCGCCACCCATAACCTCAAAGCTTACCTCTGATGACTCGGGCTTCGACGATTTGTACGTCTTCGTCGACACTCTTGTCACTCATCTTCTTCTTCTTGTTAACCTGAATGTCCATGCACATAATTCCACCACACGAAACAACACTCCCGCCACGCGGTCTCGCTACCCTTACGTTCTCGTGACATTTACATTAAACTGCGTGCGCGCGCGCAAAATTCACACTTACGGGGGAAAGCGAAAGGGTCGTCGCGCGAGGGCGCCGCGAAATGCGTTCTGTACGGTGTAATCTATTCGCTGCTGTACTTGACAACGAGACACGACGGTATACACAAAAGATCGTAGTCAGTTCGCACGAAACGCTCGTCGGTTGCCTGTTCCAAGCGTGCACGCAATTCTCTCGTAGCCCGCGTTTTCTGCTGTTTTGTGCAGAGGTGAACCGAGAGGCCGACCGGGTTCCGTCCAGATTTGAATGTGGTACACGTTGCCAGTTCTTTCTCGTATCCCCCTCCGTCCCCCTTCCACTCATCCTTATGTACTTAACGGTTGCGACGTTGCCGCACATCCGGTACCAGTGACTAAGTGGTGGGGGAAGGAGAATTTCGCAAAGGAGTGGGGGATGTACATAAGTACCTGACAACGCCATAGTGGGGACTTTCGTGGGGGTGGGGGCGAGCAGGGGGTATGTACATAAAGGAGGGGAGAGGGTTGTTGCTCGGGAATGGGAATTTTCCATGACGCTTCAGGGCAACAGCGACCGTTAGCTAGGTCACGTGGCTTTACCGGAAATCGTAAGGGCGACGCGCCACGACGCGAGCGCCCTCATCTTCCGTCACAAGTCCCAAGTTCTACGCGAGGATAATTTGCTTTCTTTTTCAATAAAAGTATTTTTTAATAATGCTACACAATTCTTACTGTTTTTCTTGTCCTCTCTTTTAATTTTTTTATATTTAGAAATGGATTTTACAATCATATTTCCTTCAAAGCGTCAAGGTCATACTAGAGTCTTCCTAACGTAAGACAGTGCTATATTCCATAACAAGAATAATATAAACAACACGTAAGGAGAATAATATAAATAGATATCCTATTCTGTATTGAAGATGTCGAGACAAATCTGATGAATTGAGCATACATACATGTAAAACGTTTAAATTTGAATTGTAATGGCTTTAATAAATTACATGTTTAAGGTCGTAAAAGTCAAACACTAGGTATTTACTATCCTATTATATATGTGTATGTGTGTGTATATATATGTATGTATACATATATATAAATCAAAATATATTTACATATATATGTAAATTAAAGTACAATGTATAATGTATATACGAATTAATTGTGAATGGAAATGTAATTAAAATTGTGAAACATTACCCCTTTGGGATTTTTTATTTTTATTTTATATAGTATATCAACGAAAAACTAGTTATTTTACACAAAGTCTTAAATGTATGTGTACATTCGGAGAAGATTTTACTGTCGCAAGAGGTATGTATGTAGTACGATATTTACATACTATATGTATGTACATACCTGTATATTAAAAGATTACAGATAATGTATCATAGAGGAATGGAATTATTAATGAAATAATATAATTCATATTGTAAAATTTAATAGAAAGTTATTTATTTTTACATAAATTAATATTTGACTTCTATTTAATTTACAAACTTTAAATATGCAATTATAATAAAAATAATTTTTATTAATAAGAAATACGAAACTATTGTAATGTGCATTGCTTAGGTGAATCGGAACCATGTTGCACGGATTCTTCAATATCTTTGGTGGCTAAAAGACCTTTCGTGCTTTCGGCTTCTTTCATCCAAAGTTGAACCTATACATTAATAAAACATTATGTAATAAAGAAACACATATATGCCTATAGTAACTGTAGTAAATGTAACAAGAACATATAATAAGTAATAATAATAAGTCTTCAAAATTTCATTAGACACAAGGAAATTTTCTAAACTACAATTTCGTATGACTAATGGCGGAAAATAACAATATATATCTACATATTAGTAAAAACAAGTTCATAAAAAAGTCAACAAATCACCTTTAGATTAAAAAGAATCAGTTTAGCGAAAGTTATTTATATTAATAAAAGTAAATAAAGTAATCAGAGAACTAAATAACAATATCAAAATTTTTAAAGAAACAAATAAGTACAAATATGCAGATATGCATATTAGGAATTATATAAAAACTGAAATTCTCATTTTCAAATTAAAAACTCTGTTCAAATTATACATGAAAAAATTAAATTTCCAAGATTTATGGTTTGACTAACAAAATGGTAAAATGAATCTACCATTTATATTACGATAAAAAAAAACGTTTCCATCAACCTGTTCTAAATAACAAATAATATTGGAAACGATACTTCATCGTTGATAATGTGGATTTGTGTATAATCAATTTTATTTTACGTCATATTGATTTTAATCAATCTGTCTTATTACATTTATAATATTTTATTTTTATTATTATATGTATGAAGTGATGTAAGTTCTTAATACAAAAAGAATGAATTTCTCAAGAATTTCTTAGGATTTTCTTAAACTCAATGTTTTATTTATTTGAGGAGAAATATCTTGTTACTTTTATGCCGAGCTAACACAATTATGGTACTAACATTATAAATACGTTACTGTTCTATGCACGGCGCGGTTTCGTGCTAACGGGGTATTATCGAAGTGCCTGGCATCGCTTTTCCATAAAATATACTGTTAAATGTTAAAATTTAAAACGTATATATTTTATTTTTTGTGTTTAATCTTAAACTTTTGGGGTGAAATAGGTTTTCGAAAAGTAAAAATTGTTATTCCATAAACGATAAGTTTTACGTCGATAAACAAAATATTTCGCACATAAAATATACGCTTTAGGAGAGACACAGACTATAAAACGCATCAATTATTTTTAATTTCGCAAATGGTGGAAGGAAAAATGGTGGGGAGCGGGGAAAGTTGAGAGTTGTAGGAGGGATGAAAGCAATCATTTAGTTCAGACTTTCTTTTTTGTTTATTCGTACATGAAGCAAAATAGGTAAATAAACATGGTATGAGACTTATACATAAGATGGAGGGTGATCTATCAGAATAAACGATTCTCTTTCATTTTATAATTTCTTTCTTTTAACAGGTACATATATTATATACCTAGATAAAGCTGGATAGCAAGTACATAATACAAACTCTATTGTATACATATAATCGCTCTGTCCCGATTTACTTAAGTGGGAATCTATGTCTGAACGTTCTCTTGAAAATTCAAATTTTGAATGGATCGGGATTATTGTTTATACAGTAATTGATAATCACCTGTTTATATAATAAGTCTCTCCTTCGTCCTGCTGGTTCTTTACCCAACAGGGGTACCAATATCCCTAGACACGATTGAAATTTTTCTAACGCGAGTGCATAATTTCCTTCCGTAAGATATTGTTCGCCAACTTCTCCTATTTCGAGCGCATCCGCCATACTGGTTGTTGTTTTGCTAAGAGTTCCTATCAATAAACATATACGATGACGATCTATAATATTATAGTTTTGCGTATACACATATATAACGTTGATGAATTTTAAATATGTGTTTGTGTTGGCCAATTAACTTTGCATAGATGGGGAAATATTATTTTATGAGCATTCTTTTATATAACATAATCATTCATAGAAAATTACGGTACAAACGTAGTTCGTAATATACAAATGATGATGTTCCATTTAAAGATGGTATCGTCTGGATCGATGAAGTATTTCCTTTACACCCTAATTGTAAACATTGGTTTTTCTCGTTACTAATATCTATACACGATGCTTTCAATATTTCCGCTCTCTTAATGTAATTATCTACGTGTGACCTCAAAATCTCTTTTCGTCTTAAGTCCGTCTCGCCTAAAAACATAGCATATATTTTTAGTTTATTGATTCATTCTATCGATCGATTTATGACGACATTATTCTATTTATATCAAAGCTGTAATTTCTTACTTATGAGAATAGGAATGAAGTATCTAAGAGCTTCGCAATAAAGATGAAATGCGTTTTTTAGATTTTTTTCCGCGTCCATTTTCACTGCCTTTTGTACTAACTCTGCCGCTTTGTCATAATTTTCCTTTGTTGGTGCATGAGCCAAATCCAGAAAATCATGGACAAAAAATTCATCGAACGATATCCTTTCGTCAGGGTCGTGCTTTAGCAAGGACATCAATAAATCCTTGCACTCGCGCGATACGTGCGATCCTCTCGGTAACTGTAGTTTACAGTAGTAGCGTTAGAAATTTCGTGCACGATAAATTTAACAAATACTTTCTTTACAAAATAGAAGAAAATTTTACATAAAATATTGCAAAATATGAAGCTTTAGAAAAAAAATAAAATCCTTTTTAGAGATATAGCCATTGAATATTACGTTGCAAAGAAATTAAAATATATTTCTAAATAAAAACATGTATAAACTATTTAGAAGTCATCACAAATAAGGCAAAACATCTAAATATTTCTACACTTTTGATAATTTGAATATCTGGTCGATGACTATATGTTGATGGCAAGAACACGTTCTTGAGATGACTTTAAACGTATAATTTTTTTTTGTGATTATATACATCTGAACGTTGAACATATAACTCTGTTTTAAAGATTTTACTTTTAACTAGTTACAAAATCCCTTTTGCTCGTTAACTAACGTATGTTATAACGAGTCATAATTCGTGAGTTCGTGCTTCGGGAAAAATTTTCGCGCCGAAGGTCACTGTAAACGACGCAAATCTTTTTAATATTGTTATATATTCGTAAACATAATCATATTTGTGAACGTTGAATTCTTGAAAAAGTGGTCTATAGAATCGCACGGCGACTTGACCTTGTTATAATTTTGAGATATTTAGATGTTAAACCTTGTACGTACACATACATATCCAAACAATATTATAGTATGCGGTTATAGCCAAATACATTACACATATATTGTTGCGTGCTACACTACGTATCTTGACATATGTTGCATATGTAAGTAAATACAAATCATATATGTATAAGCTATAATTACAGTTAGTTATATAACTATACTTGGCTACATATGTTTTATATTTGTACACAGAAGCATAGTAATTACATACAACAGGTGTGTAAATTGTGCACGTCTGTAAATATGTACAGTGGCGAGTATGTACAATAGGAACATTATTTCTTCCTGATTTAAATGATTCTGAGTCGTTTAAAAGAAGATAAGGCCTTGTTCGAGTTAAGAAGTCAGTTAACATTGGCGTAATTCCTTCTATTGTTTATAAGTAGGTAATTTCGTGCAAATACTTTAATAGGAATGCTACCTACTTTCTCTTACATTTACACAATTTATTTAAGTAAGTATGCTAATGTTATATTACATACGTATTAAATATTCATCGTTTTATACAATATACTACGCGTTTTTTAAATAAAAATAGTAGAAGAAAGCATGCTACTGTTGAACAGAAAAAAATTTACAGCGCTAAATGTTTAAAATATACAAATTTTCTTACACTGATATTGCAATGTTATTTCCGAAATTCTTATTCGTACAATTTTATTAATCTTGGACCTTTTTTTTACATTGAACACACAATACAACTAAAGCGTGTAATGGAGCAAAATTAAAGAAATTGTATTACAGTCAAACTTCCATTATCCTAATTAATGAGGAGACATAGTAAAACAATAAGATGCAAAGAGACGATTTTATAAGAAGTTCTTCCTGCACTCCAAATCGTCTGAATCTTGTTTCTGATACGATGAATCGTAATTTTACCGATTCTGTATACGCTTGTTAATTTTAATTGAATTCAAAATTATTATTTAATTCAATTAAAATTTTAATTAGAAAAGTAGCGGGTTCCTCATTTCCAACAATTATACCATCCCGTGTTTTATTCCTACAGTAGGCATTTCTGATGTGATTTCAAATGCGACCATATACAGGGTGTTTGGCCACCCCTGCAAAAAATTTTAATGGGAGATTCTCGAGGCCAAAATAAGACGAAAATCAAGAATACTAATTTGTTGATGGAAACTTTATTAAAAAGTTATTAACGTTTAAAGTTCCGCCCGTACTGAATTTTTTTCTAGAAAGTGGGAAGAATTTCGGGGGTAGGTCTATTCACCAAAAATTATTGTAATTGACCCCCACAACCGAAAATAATTTTTCCAGAACGATTTGAAATTTTTTAATTTTGTCGAAAAATTTCACACCTTCTCGCATTTTTTTCTCGAAAGTAGATAGGATTTCGAGGATATGTTTAATGCCCAAAAATGATTGTAGTTGACCACCGCAACCGAACATAATTTTTCCAGAACGATTTGAAATTTTTTTTTCGCCGAAGAAATTAGGCACCTATACCCACCCCTTTGTCGATTTTTCTTAAAAATTTGTGTTTCACTTTTCATAAATTTCTTTGACGCTCTACAGAAAAGGCGTCTAATACTTTTTTATAAATACTCATGAGCTCTACTTCGCAAATAAATTTCAATAAGATACCGTCACTATTGTAGGAGCCATGTCCATTTGAAAATTGGACCAGTTTTAGGGTGGTTTTCACACTTCATGGTGTCAAGGAACAACTTTTTCAATATTGTTAGAATTTCTACATATTCTCCACTAAAATACGCGTTGTTTGCATTTTGAAAAATTAAAATCCTCCAATCCGTTCAGGAGTTATGACATTTTAAAGATTCGCATGAAATTTCAGGGAGCCATTTCTGGCCTCGCATTAGATTTGCGGTAAAGAATTTTTGTCTCGAAAATCGGAATGATTTCGGGGGTATATGTAATGACCAAAAATGATTGTAATTGACCCCTGTAACTAAATATAATTTTTTCAGTATAATTTGAAATTTTTTAATTTCGTCTAAATATTTCAGTACCTGCTCGAATTTTTTTCTCGAAAGTGGGTAGGATTTCGGGGATATATGTATGTATTCACCAAAAATGATTGTAATTGAGCCCCGCAATGAAAAATAATTTTCTCAGAATGATTTGAAACTTTTTAATTTAATTTTTTAATAACTTTTTAACGAAGCTTCAGTCAAGAAATTGATATTCTCGATTTTCGTCTTATTTTGCCCTCTAGAATCTCCCATTAAAATTTTTCCCAGAGGTGTCCGAACACCCTGTATGTAGATAGGTAGGCTGCAAGTTCCATACTAATATTTTGCGATCAAAATCAATTTCGACCGTTATAGAAGATTGTTCCTATACGGAAAAGGGTAATTTGCGTTAAGATAATAGAACTTTATGATAATAGTGTGTTCGGATAACGAAGATTCTACTGCATCGTTTAATAGGATGAAAGTAACGGTAAAAAGAATACGAGGTTTTTTGCATTAAACAAAGCAGATCGATATAATAGTCACCTCTATAGGGCAACTGTCCTTGATTTTTTCCGCTAGTTCGTCAAAGCTATTGCTAGAGTACGGGGCTTTGCCGAAAAGGCATTCGTACATGATCACGCCGACGCTCCAGAGATCGATGCGAGCGTCATATTTGTGTTTCAACAAAATTTCTGGTGCCATGTAAAGGGGCGAGCCTCGAATCGTAAATCTTTGCTCCGAATTCGAAAGGTATTGAGCGAAACCGAAATCTGAAAAGAGAAAATTATTCGTGACAAATAAATCGATCGGGGAATTAGACAGAGAGATTTTCGAAACGCGAACGAACCTCCAACTTTTAATATCAATCGCGGCTTTCTCGTTAGCAGCAAGTTCTGCGGTTTCAAGTCCATGTGGCAGATATTGTGATTGCGCAGATACTTTAAAGCGAGCGCGAGTTGTTGCAGGAATCTCCGACAAATTTGTTCGGGTAGCTTGCATTTCTTCTTTATAAAACTGGATAAATCACCAGCGTCACAGTATTCCATCACGATGTATATGTGCCTGCGTTACGCTATGTGATAGAGACTGTATAAAAAGACGTCTTTATACATTGTTCGAAATAGCCAAGGGATCACCTACTGACATGAATTTTGTTATTCGCTGTGGCGCCGTTAATTTAACAATTTCAACTTTGCGCGATATTCGGTCAAGTTTCTCGTACTAACACAGAAATTCGTATTTATCGAGATAAACAAAAAACATCTTACTATTTCGTGGGACCGAACCCTACTACATTTTCTTTTAAAACCTTCGAAACTATCAACGCAGTGTCAATTACTTTGTCGAGTTAAAGCCGAACATCTCTAATTTACAATATGATACGAATTATTTCTACAATATCTTTTCTACGCTTAATTTTACAATTGTTAGTTATGTTAATTAGTATACCACGAAATTACTTTTCACCCCACACAGAGATTGGGATACAATTACTGATTAAACATAGTTTTAATTGGGGTATGTTTGTTTACGTTATTTTGTTGTGCGTTAGTTTTGTGTCTTATTACGAGGTGAACAATGTTCTGAGGAAGTCGAAAGTAGAGTTGATTGGTACTCTACGAGGTATATTCCAGAATATTCAAGCATACGTAAGCAGGTGAGCAAACGAGACAGAAAAAGATAGAGAGAGAACAGCAAAAGTAAAAGGGAAGTATAGGATAGCCCTTGTTTATACTCATAGAATGTAGTATTGTTACAGCCTTAAATTAATGAAATTGTCGATATATAGTAAAATATAGTTTCTGGAAAATTTTCTCAACAATACGTACAGACTTTGAAGGCTACGGTATTCTTGTACAAAACGTTTGCATTGGACTAGGAATAATACAGGGTGTTCGGCCACCTCTGGGAAAAATTTTAATGGGAGATTCTAGAGGGCAAAATAAGAAGAAAATCAAGAATATCAATTTCTTGACTGAGGCTTCGTTAAAAAGTTATTAAAAAATTAAATTAAAAAGTTTCAAATCATTCTGAGAAAATTATTTTTCATTGCGGGGCTCAATTACAATCATTTTTGGTGAATACATACATATATCCCCGAAATCCTACCCACTTTCGAGAAAAAAATTCGAGCAGGTACTGAAATATTTAGACGAAATTAAAAAATTTCAAATTATACTGAAAAAATTATATTTAGTTACAGGGGTCAATTACAATCATTTTTGGTCATTACATATACCCCCGAAATCCTTCCGATTTTCGAGACAAAAATTCTTTACCGAAAATCTAATGCGAGGCCAGAAATGGCTCCCTGAAATTTCATGCGAATCTTTAAAATGTCATAACTCCTGAACGGATTGGAGGATTTTAATTTTTCAAAATGCAAACAACGCGTATTTTAGTGGAGAATATGTAGAAATTCTAACAATATTGAAAAAGTTGTTCCTTGACACCATGAAGTGTGAAAACCACCCTAAAACTGGTCCAATTTTCAAATGGACATGGCTCCTACAATAGTGACGGTATCTTATTGAAATTTATTTGCGAAGTAGAGCTCATGAGTATTTATAAAAAAGTATTAGACGCCTTTTCTGTAGAGCGTCAAAGAAATTTATGAAAAGTGAAAAACGAATTTTTAAGAAAAATCGACAAAGGGGTGGGTATAGGTGCCTAATTTCTTCGGCGAAAAAAAAATTTCAAATCGTTCTGGAAAAATTATGTTCGGTTGCGGTGGTCAACTACAATCATTTTTGGGCATTAAACATATCCTCGAAATCCTATCTACTTTCGAGAAAAAAATGCGAGAAGGTGTGAAATTTTTCGACAAAATTAAAAAATTTCAAATCGTTCTGGAAAAATTATTTTCGGTTGTGGGGGTCAATTACAATAATTTTTGGTGAATAGACCTACCCCCGAAATTCTTCCCACTTTCTAGAAAAAAATTCAGTACGGGCGGAACTTTAAACGTTAATAACTTTTTAATAAAGTTTCCATCAACAAATTAGTATTCTTGATTTTCGTCTTATTTTGGCCTCGAGAATCACCCATTAAAATTTTTCGCAGGGGTGGCCGAACACCCTGTATGAAGAGGATATTATTCGAAGGTTTCGAAAATAGCATTGTTGCTTAAACTTTGATTGTAATTATAACAAAATATGTTCCGATACCAAACTTTTAATGTGAACATTGCGGCCATGTTTTTCTGTCATTTAATAATGGTATGTCAACAGATATTTTCGTTGTCGCTAGCTTCAGTAAAGAAAATAGTCTTTCGTCACTTACTAATTCAATATTACTTAAAATTGAAAAACTGATTTCACAATTATAATGGGGACCGTACACTAAAAAAAACTTCAAAACGAAATCCACAAGGGATACTTTTCGACGGATAACAATTTTAAAAAATTGAGTCCGTATTCGTTTCTGCTCAGTAAAAATGGATCAGTTTGTAAAGAACATAGTTCCAATCGATATGAAATTTCTTGCTCTTCGATATTACATCCTTAAGGGTTATTAAGCATTACCGTATCAGTTTTTAATTGACCAAAATCCTTAAATCCATCTTCAAGATGTTTCTTTAAGTTTTTTAACACTGACACACACTTCACAGACTTTTGCTCTTGAATACTGCACTTTAATTTCCTTGGAGGCTGGAAAAGCAGTTCTTAATAAATATGTGTAAAAGAATATCCTGAAAAAAAATCTTGCTCATACTTGTCCAAAAAAAAGATATCTATGTCTTATGGCTCTTGCAGACGTGGGTGAGGGTAGATCCAGATACGGTTGATCAAAATCGCAATAAACGCAATAAAATTTCTATCTAATATGGGTCTATTTTATTATCTGAAATCCTGTGCCGCAAAGAGTTAAGGAAGTGTGTTTCGGAGGTGGAATTATCAGCAGCTGATACGTGTTTAAGATTTTTTAATATTCTTTCAGTGTACCAAGTTTTACCATAGGCGGAGTATGACACTTGCGCAATGTCCCTTGTTAGTCACAATTTAATATTTTTTCGATGTACTCCGTTATTCTTTAAAATCCATCATTTTTTTGTTACATTTTTCAGTTTAGATTCGTAATTAGCGACCACGAAAACCTTACTATACCAAATTTCGTCCAAATCAAAGATACAATATTTACATATTTTGGCCACGATTTTTAGAAAATTCCCCACTGTGCGACGTTAAATCCTGAGTCCAGTGGCCTACACACGCCACAAGGGCAGAGAGTAGACACGCTTGCAGAAACCACCTCAAACCGAAAAGCTTGACACCGATTTATCAATCACATCACCATCCTTTGAGGGAGCGATTTTACAGGCCAAAATAAGTCTCTATAATAAAAGAATAAAATATTCCGATAGAGGCTTCATTTTAAAGTCATTAACAATTAATGATTCATCTAAATCACAGCAATTTGTGTACAATCTTGCGTGCGAGTCAGGTCTCTCCATGACGCACGCGTCCAGTGGTGACGGTCGCTCGATTTTACCATCTACAAAGCGTACTTACAATTAGTATCTACTTATATGGTCGCCTCAATAGAACGAAATAGCTAAATACACAGAATTTTTTTCGTTTCCAATGTTTACCATGTTTTTCTAAATTCTAGATACGTGATCCCCTTAATTGTTTCGAGCAATGTATTTCGAGGAATTTTTCGAATTTATTATAATTATAGATTATAGTGTAGTCAACGAAAAATCGAATCGACCTGGTTAGTAACGTTGTTACCTTTTAATTTAATTTTTCATCAATAATACTTATTATCATTACCAATATTGAGAATACCAATTAAACGAATACAAGGTTCATTTTGTAACAATAATACTCATATGAATAAGGTTACATGCGATATGTTCGATCCCATCGCTACTTTTGTTGTCGAACTCGAAGCATCCAAGCCTATAGGTATGGCAGAAAGAAAGGAAAGAAGTCCACTCAACAGGCAAGGGAGGTCTCCCAAATCGCCTCTTTCGTTGACTCCACCGTAGTCATATAAAGGACTGTAGTGCCATCGTATGATATGAAGAGTAGAAAACGCAAAAAGTGCAAGCAAACAATACACGAGCCGAGTTTGGTCCAGATCGTCGATTAAATCCTATTCGTTTTAAGACACACAATATGCACCAAGCATGACAAATTTACTGCAATATAGATACATATATAAAATGCAGCAGGCAGTTAAAACGTCTAGTTCGTTCTTGAAGACCGACAGTATCACATTTAAAAAGTAATGCGTTGCAATTCATATGATATAGAAGAATATGTTTGCATTTTTTAAATTAATTTTATTGAAATAATTTTAAAAAAAATTAGATTTATTCTGTATTTGCCTATATTGGAACTTGGGGTTATGGGTTATATAATTAAATACTTCTTTAATATTTATTTGGATGAATATATAGTCTTTATTTTATGATAAAAAATATGGATTCGTTCTGTATGAGATCGCGTTTTAAACTGTTTGATTCACCCGCCAAAGAAGGCAAGATTAAAGAGAAGTTCGCCCTGGCGATAAACTCTTATCCTTGTATAATAAACATTATGAGTTCTTAGAACCCATGACCAAAACACAAAAAAAACTTTAAATATACAGGGTGCTCGGCCACTCCTGGGAAAAATTTTTATGGGAGATTCTAGAGGCCAAAATATGACGAAAATTAAGAATACTAATTTGTTGATGGAGGTTTCGTTAAAAAAATAATAACGTTTAAAGTTCCGCCAGTACTGAATTCTTTTCTAGAAAGTGGGTAGGTTTTCAGAGGTGGGTTTATTCACCAAAAATTAATGTAATTGACCCCCACAACCGAAAATAATTTTTCCAGAACGATTTGAAATTTTTTAATTTTGTCGAAAAATTTCACACCTTCTCGCATTTTTTTCTCGAAAGTAGATAGGATTTCGAGGATATGTTTAATGCCCAAAAATGATTGTAGTTGACCACCGCAACCGAACATAATTTTTCCAGAACGATTTGAAATTTTTTTTTCGCCGAAGAAATTAGGCACCTATACCCACCCCTTTGTCGATTTTTCTTAAAAATTTGTGTTTCACTTTTCATAAATTTCTTTGACGCTCTACAGAAAAGGCGTCTAATACTTTTTTATAAATACTCATGAGCTCTACTTCGCAAATAAATTTCAATAAGATACCGTCACTATTGTAGGAGCCATGTCCATTTGAAAATTGGACCAGTTTTAGGGTGGTTTTCACACTTCATGGTGTCAAGGAACAACTTTTTCAATATTGTTAGAATTTCTACATATTCTCCACTAAAATACGCGTTGTTTGCATTTTGAAAAATTAAAATCCTCCAATCCGTTCAGGAGTTATGACATTTTAAAGATTCGCATGAAATTTCAGGGAGCCATTTCTGGCCTCGCATTAGATTTGCGGTAAAGAATTTTTGTCTCGAAAATCGGAATGATTTCGGGGGTATATGTAATGACCAAAAATGATTGTAATTGACCCCTGTAACTAAATATAATTTTTTCAGTATAATTTGAAATTTTTTAATTTCGTCTAAATATTTCAGTACCTGCTCGAATTTTTTTCTCGAAAGTGGGTAGGATTTCGGGGATATATGTATGTATTCACCAAAAATGATTGTAATTGAGCCCCGCAATGAAAAATAATTTTCTCAGAATGATTTGAAACTTTTTAATTTAATTTTTTAATAACTTTTTAACGAAGCCTCAGTCAAGAAATTGATATTCTTGATTTTCGTCTTATTTTGCCCTCTAGAATCTCCCATTAAAATTATTCCCAGAGGTGGCCGAACACCCTGTATATGCCATTACTAGAGATGATTTTTGTATTATCACGAGACGGTTTGGAAATTTAACAGTGTGCGTTTAATCCTCATATTGATAACACTGTCCAATACCAATTTTGTCTTGTAATACACATTGGATGATTCTAATAAAATTTCTCGAAGTATAAGCCGAATTACTCGATCACCTTCAGTTTTCGAAAAACACGAATTTTTATACAAACTGTCGATTTCAGACACAAATGATAGAGATGAGATTCCTAAATATGTCAGTATGATTCAATAGTTATAATATTTTTATAATATTTTAGGCTTGTACATAGTTATAAATAACCGCCAAAATTTGAATACGTGCCGAAATATGTAATCACTGCATTTTTACGAAAAGTTCGTTGCCTGGCACGAATTGTCTATACGATATCGGATTTGGATTCGAGCAATTCGAGAAAATATCTGTCGGCAACGCGTGCACGGCCTTTTACTGCCACGATACGACGCGTCGCGTCGCTCGCTTACTTGCCTCGACTGAGCAGTACCGTAGCTTCGCATAATCGACCTCGAATTAGCAATTTCTCGAATTGTCCAACGTGAAGCAGCTACCGCGTTAAATGTGCGTCGAAGAGACACATTTATCTAAAGAAGACTCTGTTCCTTGCGTTTTGCCACACAATCGAACATAGAAAAAGATAAAAAATGAAAAACTAAGAGGGATTAAGGCCGGGGGCACACGAGCGTCAAAACAACGTCCGTATTTATGCCCTTCCTTGCTTACAATTGAAAAGACATAGGAACGCCGATCTTGTCTGACTTCATTGTTTTCGATTGCAAGACAAGGAAGAACATAGAAACGCGCGTCGCTTCGACGCTCGTGTGCCCCCGGCCTAAGGATCAAGCTAGGTCTCCACGTAATATAATAGTGAGAAAAAGGCAAGACTTTATTATTTCTTAATTTGACGGAAAATAATGTAGATTCGCGTATATTTGTTCATTGGTTGATACTTTTGGCAATTACAATCCTTTTTACGCAGAATTTTTAGACAATTCGAAAAAATCAACTAACCCTTCATCCCAGAAGAAATCTCTCATTTCCACGATATGTTCATGTTTTAGAATTTTCAAGAGATTGATCTCCGTGATGATATTATCGATAGCCGATTTGGATAGCGATGATTTGTCTACACACTTGATTGCGACTACCTCTCGGCATCCATCCTATAAACGACCAACAATAGCATTACGCTTAGTCGCCTTGAGATAACTTACTTCTTTCAAGCTTCGATGCAACCCTTCTGGCCACATCTCAAATCAACGGTGTCACTCGACGAATAGAGACCAGTTATTGGTGTACATTAAAACAAGTAGCACTGGAATCGGTGACACGCTGTTAAACTCATACTTTTCTCTACGTACTATGAGAGAAATAAATTAACGCTAAGGTTAGTGTATTCGTATAAACTTCATTCGACGACATAAGGTGTACGGACGCATTACGTTCGTGGCATTTGTGTAATGTCAGTCATGTCAATAACAGCGGCTCGAGATCTTACAAGATATGATCTCCGACGACATAATTGTCTGTTTTTAATCAATAAACAGGTCGAGAGAAAAGGAAAGAGTAATATTGTGTCTCGATAAGTAATTCTATTTATCGATATATATGTTAGCTTATCTTTCGCGTGTAAATAATCTTGTCAATGAAATAGTAGCTAGGAATTAATAAACATTAATTATCTTCAAGTCATCGAACAAGTTTATATTTAGATCTATTCTTTTTAGTTCGGTAAAGAAATTATCCCGACGAACGATAGCAACTTTATCGATTTCATGAAATCAGCTTACGTCATATACAATTCAAATAATAATGATGTTTAATAATACATAGTTCTATAATACGTTCGACTAAAATAAGATTTATGTTTTATCGAAATATTTTACATTTCATTTAATTTAATTATGGCGTTTGCTACAAATACGTTTTTTATGCGGAATAAATTTTTCCTAACAGAAAAAGTGAAAAAAAGAACCGAATCATTGTGACGGAAATTAGGAACTCACTGAAATCATTAATCTAACAAATACATTTAGGCCGTGACCACATTGAGCAGCTGAGCGATAAAGCGAATAGCAGCAAAGCGAAAAAAAAGAAATGAAACCTATAAATTTAGGCCTATTTTATAAAGGGTGTACGGCCACCCCTGGGAAAAATTTTGTTGGGAGATTCTAGAGGCCAAAATAGGACGAAAATTAAAAATACTAATTTGTTGATGGAGGTTTCGTTAAAAAGTTATTAACGTTTAAAGTTCCGCCCGTACTGAATTTTTTTCTAGAAAGTGGGTAGAATTTCGGGGGTAGGTCTATTCACCAAAAATTATTGTAATTGACCCCCACAACTGAAAATAATTTTTCCAGAACGATTTGAAATTATTTATTTTTGTCGAAAAATTTCACACCTTCTCGAATTTTTTTCTCAAAGGGGGGTAGGATTTCGAGGATATGTTTAATGACCAAAAATGATTGTAATTGACCACCGCAACCGAAAATCATTTTTCCAGAACGATTTGAAATTTTTTTTTCGCCGAAGAATTTAGGCACCATACTCCATTGTCGATTTTTCTTAAAAATTTGGTTTCCACTTTTCATAAATTTCTTTGACGCTCTACAGAAAAGGTGTCTAATACTTATTTATAAATATCCATGAGCTCTCCTTCACAAATAAATTTCAATGAGATACTGTTACTATTGTAGGAGTTATGACCGGTCGAAAATTGGCAAAGTTTTAGGGAGTTTTTCTCACTTTACGGTGTCAAGGAACAACTTTTTCAATATTGTTAGAATTTCTACATATTCTCCACTAAAATACGCGTTGTTTGCATTTTGAAAAATTAAAATCCTCCAATCCGTTCAGGAGTTATGACATTTTAAAGATTCGCATGAAATTTCAGGGAGCCATTTCTGGCCTCGCATTAGATTTGCGGTAAAGAATTTTTGTCTCGAAAATGGGAAGGATTTCGCGGATATATGTAATGACCAAAAATGATTGTAATTGACCCCTGTCACTAACTATAATTTTTTCAGTATAATTTGAAATTTTTTAATTTCGTCTAAAAATTTCAGTACCTGCTCGAATTTTTTTCTCGAAAGTAGGTAGGATTTCAAAGGTATGTGTATTCGTAAATAATGATTGTAATTGAACCCCGCAAACAAAAATAATTTTTTTAGAATGATTTGAAATTTTTTAATTTAATTTTTTAATAACTTCTTAATGAAGCCTCAGCCGAGAAATTGATATTTTTGATTTTCGTCTTATTTTGGCCTCTAGAATCTCTCATTAAAATTTTTCCCAGGAGTGGCCGAACACCCTGTATAAATCTATAGGTTTCATTTCTTTTTTGCCGCTTTGCTGTTATTCACTTTATCGCTCAGCCGCTGAGCCGTTCTCAATGTGGTCACAGCCTTACTTTTTCGATCTGAATTTGGACGCATTCTTAACTAACATTTTTCATTTATCAGGTTGTATATAAAATTATAAATGTTATGTTTTTATTCCCGATACGGTACGAAACTTTATTATTACCATCGATAAAAGAATGCTTAATTATCTCATTTGACGTTTTCTGATGGCATTACTTTAATTTAATCGTACTTAGCGCATTTAAAATTCACGATAATTTGCAGTAAGCAGAGTTCATTAATTTTTCACTGAATACAAATACACATACTTAATTACGATAAAAAATAAATAGTTAAAAATTGTCAAATCTGCATTGACATTGGAATCACGATGCAATTATTAACTTAGAATATTGTTTAGTACACGGCATGGATGGATGATACCGTGTGACATTACGACACTGCATTGCAGTGTTCTATTCTGAATTTTCATGCAAAATAAAAAGAAAACACAAGCATATACACGTACTCCGATAGACATAATCGCTGTGTAACGAAAACAATATAAATATATCTGTATCGTAAATCACTAATTAACCTTGTTACGTTCTATTAATAACATGTTTAGTATATATTTTTTCCGGAATTCTACCAAAGTAAAAAAAGTATTAAATGTTCACTGAGAAAAGTCACATTAAGGTTAAATGACACAAAATGTAGGTCATAAAATTGTATGCGCGTTAAAAGAAACAAAAGATAAAAGATCCGCGTCGCATATTTCACATGTATACGAGTTACGATTTAAAGGGTGAAATTGTGGCTACTGCGACGTATGTATGGACCAGTTACGACACTGTTACAATACGCTTCGTATACTTTCGTTCCGAACCTCAAAACACACGTACCTTTTTGAACGCTTTGTAGACAGTCGCATAACTTCCCGAACCAATCTTTTCCAACAATGAATAATCACTCACACTAGGCAAACTCATTTTTCCCGATAACTGTTAATTCACATCGACATTTACTCAAATTATTACGACACTATAAGGTTAACTTAACTTGACAGAATGCTGTGAGCTTCTTCACTATCGTTCGTATATTCATTGGCGTAGTAACTTGAAATGCGTTCCGCAAACGTGTTATTCCTAAGTTCCGATACATTACGTATATACATATAGCCAACATATTACTTTATATGCATACATACCCCATATTTATTTACATGTGAACTTAATTCCAATAAAGTGAAATATGATATTCAACGAGAAAATACTGTATTTGCATAATATACATCGTTTAAATGATGTTTAATCAAATGTATACATATATGTATATATTCACTAGATCATATTATTTTAGGAAAAAATTATGATAATTTCCGGTTCTTTGTAAACATTCTTAAATGTATTCAATATTTTTATAAAATAGTGTTTTTTTAACACGCGTTGGATATATAAATAAATGTCAGAAAATTGTGCTCTTTGTAGAGACGCCCATGTGCGTCAGCTGTGCGCCGCGTACGAAGCATACTTCAAGTAGTTGACTCAGTTAGTAAAACGGCACTTGGTGACGAGACATTTTGTTGTCGCGTCACAGATAGATTTTCAATTTCTTGGATAGTATTGCGCGAAATTTTGTGTCTAATTGTATTCATCGACCAAGCTAACCTTAATTTCGAACAGTGAGCGCAGAAAAGGATAACAGGAAATTTAAGTCGATCGTTGAAGAAAAGACATGGCACATACTACTATGGACGTGATCGCAGTAATCGAGCTATAAGCTCGTCCATTCTTTCATGGCAAATGGTGCATTCTGGTTTAATTTATGGTTTTACCCGATAAGCCTACTTATTTGGTGACTTGCTGGGTGCAATGGCTGAAAAGATTGTTGTGCATGGTAATACATCTTATAAATCTGTGATGTGTTTCAACATCGATAAATTTTCGAGGTATCGCGTAAAGTGTGTTTAGTGTTGTATTTGTTAAAATCATCGATTAAATTGGATGTCGTGCTGCCTAACTTTTGTTAATTAAAGAAGGTCGAAACAAATATCGAAATAAGCTAAAAAGATTCCTTCGCTAAACCTTAACATTTAAAAATTGTTAGGAAAATATTTCAGGTTTGATGGCTATGTAGTTATATCCTAAATATACGATATAACGATTTGTCATGTAATACAATTTATTATTATTACCATCTTTTCGTGAGTTAATAAGATGTACATTTTATTTTTGTTATTATAATTATAGTTACAATTACTTATATAGATTTAACTTGAATACTATCATTTTAAAATACAATTTTTGTCACAGAATTTATTGTAATTAACAAGTTACAGCTTTTAATTACAGCTAATAAACTTTCTATAATATTTCTTATTTAACGTAAAATATAAGTTTTACAACAATTGAGTATGGTAGCAACTTTAAAAATGTTTGCTTCAAAAGAATGTAATACCTATGTTACATCAAAACAGATTTCGATTATTTTAACGTTTATTTTAATTTATTAACCATTAACGAGATTAAATTATTAAATTATTAAATTTTAAAAGAAAAATATTAATAAAAACTAAAGTAAAATATAAAATATCAATTCTATAAACGCTAAACGGTATTGGATAAAAATGTGTAAAGAAGGCTTCCAATTGGCTAAAGGCACGGTAACTCATTCATCGTTTTTGCCGTGACTTTAGCATTTGGTGTAACAGCTACCGGAGTTCAACTCGGATGTTTTGGCAGCTGATTTAATCCTTGCTTACGAGTATCTTAGAAATATTTTGAAATTTGTTTGACTGTACGTGTTAATAAACGGATTGCATAGTGCTGTGACAGTAAATTTTATGTGATACTATTAATATTAAGTAAGGGACAACGTACGATAAAGCTTCTTGCTTTATTCGGGAAGTAGAGAACGATGACGTCATGTGCTGAAACATAAGCTGTTTTCACCTTGTTCCGCTACGACAGTATTTCGCGGGTACAGGTGCGATATATTTCTTTGTGGTATTGAAATTTTCTTGAAATCCATCGAGCGAAATAGTAAAATAATTATGTTCGTGCTAGTGTTATTATTCGACCCATAATTATTTAATAATCTACGAAGCCCGAGTTAAGATAAAAAATGTGCTAATGTTCTGTTTTCACTTAACTGTGACACATACTTGTTAGTGATTTCATTGTTCCCAATCTATGTTTACTGTGTAGTTGAACAAACAAAACAAAGTGTACACAGAAGGCATGAGGTTTTGTAGATGGAGCATCAAATACAATGATTGTATCTTTTGATAGCAACATTTTATATACAGGTGTAAACGATACAAAATAAAAAAAAATATATCCGTGTTTTAATTACTTCATAAATTAACAATACAATGGATTCCGAAGAAGAAACGTATGACGATGTTGATTCTGGCAATGAATCCAGCGGGGACGATGTGGATTTTGCAATGGAAATAGAAGCAGAAAATCCAAGAGAACGAACAACAGATGTTGACGATTATCCATTTGAAGTTTTGTCAACAGAAGAGATAGTGCAACATATGATTGATTCTATAAAAGAAGTAAACACAGTTGTAGAAGTATGTAAAAAAATGTTTTACTTCTTAAAGTTAAATGAATAAAGTATGAAAAATGTACATGCGTATATAACAAATACCTGTTCTTTTAAAGCTTTGACAATCACAGTAATGCTATATACAACAAAAAATAAATTATATATTATATTTAAATTCAAGTATAGTACATTATGATTCAATTGTATTGTAGATACCAGCGACAACCACGCGTATTTTATTAAATCATTTTAAATGGGATAAAGAAAAATTAATGGAACGCTTTTATGATGGTGATCAAGAAAAGTTATTTGCCGAAGCACGTGTTATAAACCCATTTAGAAAGGGTCCATTAATAAATAGAAATCAATCTTCTCAAAGCTCTCTAGTAAGTAAGCTCTCGTTTCTTTGTTTTCCATACATGAACAACACAATAGAGATTTCAACAGTAATGTATTTATAATTTGTAGTCTAGAAGAACGTCAACAAATGGTACTGAAGAATGTGGAATCTGTTTTATGATTCAACCATCTGCAGTAAGTGTACATAATTTATATTTAATACAATGTAATGTATATATTTGAAATTCATGTAATAGTGTAGAAATTTAATGTACAATTATATCTGAAATATCATCTTCTAATTATATATTTAAAAAAAATAATTAGATGATGACTGGACTTGAGTGTGGACATCGTTTTTGTACTGGTTGTTGGGGAGAATATCTTACAACTAAGATTATGGAAGAAGGGGTTGGTCAAACAATTGCATGTGCAGCACATGCTTGTGACATTTTAGTTGATGATGCTAGTGTTATGCGTCTTGTAAAAGACTCTAAAGTTAAACTGAAGTATCAACATTTAATAACCAATAGTTTTGTGGAAGTAAGTATTAATGTTGTGGATTTTTATTAATTTGAAAAATTATTATTAAAGTATACTAATTATTATTTTGATCTATAGTGTAATAGGTTATTAAGGTGGTGTCCATCTCCAGACTGTAATAATGCTATAAAAGTACAGTATATAGAAGCAAGATCTGTGACTTGCAAATGTGGACACACATTCTGTTTCCATTGTGGTGAAAATTGGCATGATCCTGTAAAATGTCATTTACTACGTAAATGGATAAAAAAGTGCGACGACGATTCAGAAACATCAAATTGGATTGCTGCAAATACAAAGGAATGCCCTAAGTGTATTGTCACAATTGAAAAGGATGGTGGATGTAACCATATGGTATGCAAAAATCAAAATTGCAAAACTCATTTTTGTTGGGTGTGTCTTGGGCCTTGGGAACCACATGGATCTAGTTGGTATAATTGTAATCGTTACGATGAAGAAGAGGCTAAAGCTGCGAGGGATGCTCAAGAAAAATCAAGATCTGCGTTACAGAGATACTTATTTTATTGCAATAGATATATGAATCATATGCAGTCATTGAAATTTGAAAGTAAACTTTATGCAAGCGTAAAAGAAAAAATGGAAGAAATGCAGCAACATAATATGTCATGGATCGAGGTAAAGTTGATCAAAACTAAGTGGACAATAGCATTGTGCAAGTGCGTCATTAGCATTAAGATGAATCGTAATATCATTTTCAGGTGCAATTCTTAAAGAAAGCAGTAGATATATTGTGTTCCTGTAGACAAACTCTCATGTATACTTATGTTTTTGCTTATTATGTGCGAAAAAATAACCAGTCTGTGATTTTTGAAGACAATCAGAAAGACCTGGAGGGCACAACAGAACGTCTCTCGGAGTATCTTGAAAGAGACATTACAAGCGAAAATCTTGCTGATATTAAACAAAAGGTTCAAGATAAATATAGGTAAGTTTAGTTGTATTTACGAGAAAAATAGTATTTTAAATAGCATATTATTAAAATAGTGTTAGCATTTGGGTATTCATAAAAGACAATTGAAGTAATTTGATGTGTTTTTTAACGTTAGTATGTCATTGATAAATAAAAACTAAAATTTACAGTTAAAGTATATACATTATTATTTCTCTTATTTTTCAAGATATTGCGACAGTCGGAGAAAAGTGCTTTTAGAACATGTACATGAAGGTTATGAAAAGGACTGGTGGGACTATGTGGAATAGAGAGCTATACCAGCTTTATTTTTTAGGGGTGTGAGACAAGTTTTCTTTCTTGTCACTTTTACCCCAACTGTGATAAATCAAGAAAGCTGACAAGAGACAAAAACAGAGCATGTCACTAAGTGATTTACGTGTTAGATATACTTTAAACACAATGATCTGTGGCAACACATATATCGTTATGAATTTTGAATTTATTAAAATTGAATCCTATCAATATCAGGCTAAATGTAAAATACTTTTGTATTAATTACTGAAGCTAATTTGCGCTTGCTGTGTGCTATTCATCGTTCCATATTTAAATTCTTCATAATATTCAGCCTTGCAATATAATATTTTCAAATCTTAAATGAATTTCATATACAGACACATCGGATGATAAACGATGGTACAAAAGATATCGAGCAGTGTGTTGCAGTACTGAACAAAAATTTATCTGAAATTTGCTTAATATATTTTAATGCCATAGTGTAATAATACAGTGCACTTTTTCATAATACTGTAAGATTCTCTGAAAAGGTATTAATTGAACTTTTAAGGAAAGACTTTTCAGGAGTTCTTTAAATAGTACATGGAAAGGTTAATATAAAACTAGAATACTTTAATGTGTCTCTTATTCTCAGTCCTGTGCATTCGATTTATGAAGAAATAATTGAATACGACAGGCTATTGGTGCAAATAAGACTTATAAAATACTTTAACATTTTGCTCTATTTTGGACAGCAATACGTCCAGGCTATAATTGCCAATCTTCATAAAAATTTAATGAACGTGAGCATGTCGTCAGTATCGTGTACGATTTTTTATGTTTCTTTACAATTTACTTTATGTTTACTACTCTTTTTTTTACATGATGATATTTAAAGCAATTATTCTTACAATTAATAATTCATGTACATATAGGAACAACAAAGTCAAAATTAATCTACACTTATGAAAACAAAAATATTCAAAATATTGATGGAGCACGGAAACTCCTTGGTAAGGGTACAGATTTGTATCTCGATAAAAATTTTGGAATCATTCTCATCACTGTTTATGTTCATTTAGTGTAAATGGCCCGACAACTCATGCGGTTGGTGGCTGTGTATATAGGACAGATCGATTTCTGGAATAAAATCGTCTACCATACTCATTAAAAATCTCCAAGCGAACCGATCGTGCGTCTTTTGTCGAGGAGTTTTCGTAAAATTCTAGATCGTTGGTTTGGAATAAATTGAATTTGCATAATATAAAAGGGTCCAATATTTCTAGGAAGTTGTAATATACACTGTTTTAATTTTAATATATTAATTAACAAAAGATTCAATTTATTAGCATAATATTTAGATTACAATGTTTAATATTCATTATATGTGATCATACATTAATATCATTTCATAATTTTGTTTGTTCGAAACTTGAAAGAAAAAAAAAAAAAATTCAGCAACTCATATTTTTTTTTCATGACAATATTGTCGCTTGTGTTCCAAGTTTATTCAATTGTGATATTCTCATAATGCTGACGATATGTTTCATATATCACTAGCCAACTAATTCAAGGTTAATGACCATGATACAATGATCACTTATTGTTATTTAAGTGGGGAACGAAATAAGAGTTCCGTTTTGTACAGTTACATAGTTATATATTCATACATAAATGCATAATACATACGTATATATAGTTGTAATATCAATATTAGCAAACTTAAAGTAGAAACATTTGAAGGTTTATTAAAAAAAAAGTTGTTGATTCTTACTATTATCCACGTTAGAGAATAAAAAGTAAACGCAGTTGTTTTCTGTACAGTCACAAAATTTGAGTAGAAGTAAGAAAACTGTTAGATATATTCACAGGAAATTATTCTCTAGTTCGTGGTTTTGTATTGTGTATTCATGTAATGCATAAAATTATAAATAATAATCATGGAATTACCTTTTTTTATATTCAAACGTAAGAAATATTCAGAAAAAGCTTAAAAAACTTACATGTAATCCGTGTAACAATTATTCGCCCTTAAAGTCATCATACCATATTTATTAAGACGTGTGTGATAAATTTGAGCAATCAGTTTTCGACTTCTAAATTGTTAAATATATCCGAAGAAGTTAACAACTTAATCAGTACTAGGATCTTTCAACAGTGTCAAGAATTTGACATTCAAAAGCAACAGCGTTACTCGAGAAAATATTCTGTCTGGTTTTTTATATTTAGTAATTTTCAATTATTGGTAATATGTACACAGAAACCACGTAAAATTGTGTATTTAATTCTACAAACAAAAGATCAATGCTGCACGCTGGTACTTTAGTAATATTATCTCGTTTGTTCAAAGAGTAAAAGATGCAAGTCATATAATAGTACTCTCAATATTAATCATGTAGTTTAGACATTTTTTGGTTTTTAAATACTTGCATTCTAGTATCGATCGATAAATCAATATATTTTGAGTAGTACGTAGATTGTATTTATGTTTGAATAAGTATACTACTTTAAATAAAACTATACCAATATCTGCAAAATATATTTTTAATAATTCTAGTACTAAAATATTAGTCTTCTTTTAAAAAAAATATCTTTTTCAGATTAATTTGTTCGATACAGATAAGCTTTTGCATCCTAAATTATTATTTCATTTTACTTTTTCTAGATATTAATGACATATATAAATTATTATGATTAAGAATACTTGTTTATGAAATTGACAGTGACTTTGTTTTACATCCACTTATTATTTTTTATTATCAAATATATTAAAATCTGATATTTTTTATTACATATTTTAGAATATAATATCGATACTATTTAACACGTATAATCGATTAATATTATATTAAATGCGACCGTTAAGCGTAAAATAATATATTAATATTCTCAATAGAAATGATTAAACATGTTTCGTAAAAATAGCTACTCTTATCGAATTGTCGAGTCTTCTCCAAATTTGCTAAAATTTAATATTCGAAAGTTAAAATGATATCGTCGTCTAAATACTTTAATAATACAAAATGTTTAAATACACGCATGCAAAATGTAATCGTTATATGATTCTGCAGATGACATTTTTGTTACAGGTTTATAAAATAATTGATACAACTAAGAAATCTGATATTTTGTAGAAACATTTATTATCTCCGAATACTTGCATAAAATTTTTGCAATGTTATTAGAAGCTATCGTATTTAATATTCATTGTTGTTTAAAAATGTTACCGTATATGTAACGAGTACTGTCATATCGATTGCTTTTTTATAAATTTTAAGCGTCCGCGATGGTCTTTGAATGACGAGGAAATTTATTATTTAATATATTTTCTACCTAAAATAAATTATAAATAAATATACTTAGATTGCTTCTACCTAAATTCAATATAATTTTGAGATTCTTGTTTGGCATAAATATCTGAAACATCAATTTTGAGTATCGTATGAAATTAGTTTGATAAAAACATCTAGATTAATATTAAATAAGATTTGTTTTTACTAATTTAATTAATCCATTGAGCTGCAATTATTACAAAATACGAATATAATAGGGAACTTGTATCGTTATTCTTCGCTCGTGCTACATATTTGTTGCAGTTACGTAAAAAGTAGAATGTTTGTAATCCGAGCTACATCGATATGAAAATTGTATGCACTGCAAGGATGATGTTAAATTTACATCCTGCATTTGTTACAAATGCATAATAAAAAATGGCTTTCGAATCACACAATTCCACTTTCTGTGCCAATATAAGAGTGACTTATAAACCCTTAGAAACTGATTTTAAGCACATTTTGGCAAAATATAAGTACGCTAAGAGGTCTTGTGCAATATTTAGCCTGTACTACTTGATTTGTAAGGGTATATCAGGAAGTTACGGTTAAAATTGTTGCGACCAAACCAAGAGTAGCACCTGTCATCAGAAGGCTTCTCCAGATGGCTCCGCTTATTTCTTCTGCCACAGGATATTCTATACAAAGCTGATCCTGAGAAAGCATAATATGCATATGTATACAGGGTGTGTGGTAATTGATTGTACAAGCAACAATATAGTGTTTCTAGATAAAAAAATGAATCGAAAATATAGAATAATGAAAGAAAAACTAGATTGTGTCTTGACCCAACAAATTTCTTTGTACGTTACATGTATTTCTGTTCAGATTAATTCTATTCAGTATCTGGGGTATACAAAGGGCAAGATGTTTATTTTCGAAATCGATATTTTGATTAATTTGCTTTTAATGACATCGTCGCATAAGAAATGGCCGTAAATGTCATACTTGCTCATTTTGGTTGTCAATTTTATTAAATATTTTTATGTATAATACGTACCCATCCTCCGTATCCTTTGATAAAATGCGCAACTTTCTCGCCAATAAATCGGGAAACGTACAGTGGTAATTTTTTCTTCAGAGCATGCATTCGTCTGTCTCGTGCCCAAAGGGCGAGCCTGCCTATAAACGCGTACAAACAAACGATCCTTGCCCATGTAACTCCACCATGTAAAAAGAGCTCGTCCGCGACTCCCATGAACGCTTCGTACGCCGTGTCCGGTACAACGTTTAAACGGTTTACCATACTGGCGAATAAGATACTGTGCTTGTTTAACATCTGATATACATTATGTCTCATGCTACGAGATATCGGGTCTCGTGATATAAGATAAATATCTTCTTTCAGTAGATATCGTATCACATCGTTCGCCAAACATTCCGCCGTGAATTCGATGGAATCCTCGCAGAGACTGTACCGCTGAGAGGATGAAACTAATTGCGGGAAGAGATGTTGCAGCCGAATCTAAAAAAGAGACGAATTCTTATAACCCGATCACATAGCAATGAAAATCTTTTGAAATACAGAAATTTGTAGGAGAAAGCTTGATGACAATTCAACGATTAACGGTGCTTCGGTCTCGTTGCATCGAGGTTCGGATAATTAGGTACGTTAAACGATCTCTCTGGACCAAATTGATGTCGAAATTTTCTTCGTACACGAGTCCGAGAAATTCCGATGGGTAAAACGAAGGACGTTCAATTCGATGGTCCGACGTTCCGGTATCGATCTTCTCGTTTTAAATGCAGGTTACGAACTTTCTCACATGAGCGAGACGAAGAGAGAGGGGAAAGAAACGCGCGCAAAAGAGAAACTACAGAGTAGTCGGTTAGGTTCGAGAAAGAGGAACATAGAGCTCATTGACAGCCAGCAGAGATTAAAGCACGCAACACCCGGCAATCGTGCGTATCGTTACCTGACAAACTTCGATGAAAGACATAGCGGTATTAGCGGTGCCGATAGCATATCGGCACAGACCACCGTTATCGTCGGCAATCGCAGTTCCAACGCCTCCGCCACTGTTACAATCGTCGTCGGCAATCACAGTTTCACCGCTTCCGTCGTCGCAGTCGTCGTGGTCGTTACAGGCTCGCTCGCTTGGCGAATTCCTGTTACCGGGGGGATCGCATTCCAGGATGCCGCCCACTCTGGAATGCGGTTCCCCCCGCACTGACGCGCCCTGCCCCCCTCCGTCCGCGCCGAGGATCTCATTGTTCGGCGGTGCACCGTCGTCGCCGGCCATCCTCGTGCACGACCGCCCGCACTGATCTCTACGAGGTACCGGCTGTCCGTCCGGCAATTGTGTCTCGCGACCAGATACTCGTATACCTACGGAATCCTCGTGGCCGCGTTTCCTTTTCCTTAGAACATCGCACCGTGCTCGAGAGACTGGTGAATCGCACGCTCGAAGCGCCGGGTTAACGAGCACCGCGCACACCAAAAATTTTTGATTTGCCTACCCCGGACGACGTAACGCTCTCTACTTTCCCGCGGCCATTTCCGAAGCCGAACCCATACCCGCACCCCACTTCTCTCTTCCTCTTCTATCCCTACCATACCTTTGACGTTTCTCACCGTTCCACTACTCTTCTCTTCTCCATCGTTGGTGTATAAGTACTGCTCTCTACGCAAGCACACGTTTTTCACACGACCATACAACGTTACCGCCGACTTCTATGGATCATTCACGTTTTCTCCCCACCATTCACTACCGGCGTATTCCGGCACGCGGTCTACACTTCTATGCACCGTCTCACACATACCCATCAGCTACGCCTAGCGACGAGACGGATACGATACCTACCAAAACTACTTGAACAATTCGGTAGTACGAGGTGTGTAAATTAAGTAATGAGACTGATTTTTTTAAATTTTTTTATTCGAATAGAATTACAATTCAATATTATCTCCCTCAAAATAACTTCCTTGGGAAGGCACGTAGCGCTGGAGGAGCCGATCCTTCCATTCCTCATAGCAGTGCTGGAACTCGGATACTGGTATAGCCTTCAGCTGGTCGGTTACAGCCGCTTCAATGTATTCGAGTGTCCCAAAATTACGTCCCTTGAGGTAATTTTTCAATTTCGAAAAGAAGAAGAGTCAGGCGACTAAAGAGACTGAGGAGCCACAGGAATGTTTTTACTAGCCAAAAACTCATTTACCGAAATTGCTGTGTGACAAGGCGCATTGTTGTGATGCAACACCCAGTTGTTCTTGATGTTTGGCCTCACACGCATGACCCTTTTTCGAAGTTTTTCTAAAAACTTGCGGTAAAAGTGTTGATTGACCGTTTGGCCTTGAGATACAAATTGTTTGTGGACGATTGCCTGGCTATCGAAAAAGCAAATCAGCATGACTTTTGACTCATTTTTAGAACGCACTAGAAAGAACAGTTTTACGAAAACAATTGCTACGGACAACCAAATGACTCTAGCGGGTACAAACTTGTATCAAAGGCATATCACACGTTCACCTACCGTCTCTCCATTTTCAGGATTTTTCAGTAAAGAGAGTGTAGTGAATTATGGGATCATGGTATGGGAATGAGCATTTTTCAAGTTGGAGAATTGTTGGAAATTCAATGGATAAATTCGACTATTTGAGTATTTTAAAACAAAATCTAAAACAGAGTGTAGAAAAATTAAATTTGGAAACAGATTATTATTTCCAACAAGATAATGATCCAAAACATACCTCGTATATTGTTTGCCAATGGATTAGTTTTAATATCCCATATACGTATGTTATCAACTGCCCTCCCTTCACAATCTCTGAACCTGAATCTCATTGAGCATGTGGCGTCGCCTTCCATGCTCGCCACCAGAGGGGTCGCGCTCTCACAAGCGCTCGACCGACCCCTCGGTTGCTATACATGTATACAATTCTCAACGACTTCCCAATATCCTAGTCGTCTAAGGCAGGGCTTGCTAGAAAACCGTACGGATGAGTCCACTAGCAGGCCCGGACGAAACGCCCCACCCCTCGTCGTTTCCTTTTCTGTCTTATGAAATGCTCCGTATTCTACCCGCAGCAAAGCCAGCGCCACAAGCATCTCTTTAGATAGATTGAACTAAGAAGAAAAGTAAAAAAGAATAGTGTAACCCCGGTGTGTGTGATAAAAAAAAGAAGAACTTGGTGATGTGTGGTGTAAGCGAGAGCCGCGTTTATGGTGTGCATTCGAGTTGCGAAAAAGACGGTGTATAGCAGAAGATAATTTACAAAAAAGTTCAAACAATTCAGAATAGAGGCAAAAGGATATACAGAGGGAAACGAGAAGTGAGTGGGGCGGAAAGTGAAGGGAGTGGTAAAAAGGAGTGGTACGAAGGAAAAAATGTGTACCTTTGTCAGACAATGTTCCAGTTCGTTTCTATAAAAAATACCTTGGACGCAAGAATTTCGCTCTTGGATCCGAATTTGATGAAAGTCATCTATGCAATATTATAGTATAAATACACGGTATATTAGTCCCCATCACTAGCTACACCTATGGTGGTTTTACCTATGCGCAGCGTGGCTGAACTATCTCCTTTTCACCTCCTTCTTCTTCATATGCACCCTCTGTTTTCCTTTCTCTTTTTACTCTCCTTCTCCGCGAGGCGCCGCGGCACGGCGTCGATAATCCCCCTTTCCCCTGAATGGTGCTCTTGCGCACGTGTACGGCCACAAGCACGATCATTTATCTACCTAGTACCTGTATGCGCTCTGAGAATCGAAGCATCGGAATTTTCGTTGGAACGCGGAGTTCACCTAGTATCGGGTACAGTTTCCCAGGCTATATTCTCGCCGTTACATGTATTATATTATTCATACAGAACTTTCGTTAAATACTGAAAAATTTGTTTTACTATTCCTATGTATGAGCGTACATACGTATATTATTAATACGATTAAGTCTAAGTAGTTGAATAAATTTCAATAAAACTTTACATTTAAGTTCTATACTCTCATTTCAAGGTTCGATTAGACTTTGAGCATAAGCAGCCCATGAATAACAATGATTGTACTAAATCTTGTTGTTTTTTAGTTATTCCGATATATAGGCGTTATTTATAATAAATTATAATGGTGAAAACAACGTACATACTTACTATTTTTTGATAAACTTGGGTGTTCTGCCGCAGATAGCGGTGCAGTCGACTAGAAAGAGAGGGTGAGAAATCCTAATTCCGCCATTTTGATAAATCGAACCATTGCTTGATAATTTACTAATTACTCGTTTCCTGGTATTAATTTATAAACTTTTAGAGTTTAATAATATATTATAGACCCCTGGTAATATTGAAGGATACTTTTTAGAACCATTTCGTCTGTAATTAAATAGTTGTTAATAAATATCGGAAGTCGGCACATTTTTTCGAATGTTTTAACGTAACATCTTAGAGAACTATCGTTAATAACTAATTCATTTCAGTGAGAATCGTTGCAAAATTGGTCCTTGAATGTTGCCAGGGATGTTTATTTGTTTGATGTTAGTGCAAAAATATGTAGATTGAGATAGAAAAGTTGATAATTCATCGATTAAAGCAGACAGTAATACAGTCGTAAATATTCCGACGTTTGATATTTGTTTATAACTTCTTAATTACAAGCGGAATGGTTACAAAGAGTATCCTTGAATGATGCTATCGATATAATATGTATAGAAGGTTAATTACAAAACCAGAGTAATTAGTAAATAACTAAACCGTCGTTTGATTAATCAAATGGGCGAAAGTATCTGTCTCTCTCGCACAATATCGCTCTCTCTTTCTATTAGCGTCTGGCCATCTTTCCTATTCTGTGATCCTGATACTTTTCGGTAGTTAGAATCCCCGTTCATAGATGGCGCCACGCATTTCGGAATTTTTTTAACGCGGTGATTTAAATAAGTATCGCTTCCAGTAATCGTCTATAACTAATTACTTAGATGTAAAAATGCGCAAAAAATGGTTGAAAAACTTAAGTAGATATTAAATAGATTCGAATAATATTTGGAGCACTTATATAGGATTATAAAACTTTGGAATCTTTGAAAATTAAGAAATTAATGGGAAAGGTAGAGGAGAATGCAAATAAAAAGTATAGAAAAGATGTACTATGATTTTGATTTTATATTAATATAAATATAAGGAATGTTTTACAGATTTCTAACTCTATTAAATAGAAAAAAAACATGCCTTGAAATCTTGATAGCACGTATCATAAATGAATTAAATTGATGAATAATATGTTTTCATAGTACTTCCATAATTTAAAATATTTTGTTTCAGGGCTCAAAGCGATTTTTCTAATCTCTATAATAAGCTAAGTGGCTCTGTGGATATTAAATAAGATTTGGTGTGGTCCAAATAGGCATAATCAGTAGCCATTTTCATTGCCAAGCATTAAACAGAAAAGACAGAAGCATGCTTTACAGCATACTGATCATATTTTAACTATTGAAAAATAAGAAATTTTTTGTACTATTTCTATGATGCGCGTACATGTGTATATTATTAATACGATTGAGTTTAAATAGCTGAACGAAGGTAAAGTGTATACATGTGTACGCTCGTACATAGGAATAGTAAAAAGAATTTCTTTTTTTTAATAGTTAAAATATGATCGGGGGGTCTTAAAACGTGTATTTCCTTAAAAAAAAGTTTTCATTATGGTTTGAGAGCGAGGAGGAAAGGCTTACATTTGTCTTCTCTCTCGACTCCCTCAAGACTGTCCGAAGTGCATTCGCGCTCACTTCGAGTAGTTTCGGAGAATCGAGAAAATGGGCGAATATCAATTTGTTTTTGTCGACTGATCGAAACTCTACGAGCTCACGTATACGTGATTTGGCATAATGTACGAAAGTGGAATGAGGAGCTCACGATGCACCCACCGGTAACCGTACTCCTAACTTGCATGCTCAAGCAGCAGTATTACGAACATCGTGCACTAAACAACTTGTAATATTGTGAACATCATAGATCTGGTGTGGCATCGTTAACTCTTATCCGAATTTCATTTTGCTCCAGCGTATAGTTTTATCGAACCCCGCACCCTACGTCTGACAGGTGCAGGAAAGTTCACGTTAACACTTATGGTGAACGTGTTGGCGTGCTCGGTGAAAGCACGTCACGGTTGCTGACCCAAAGGTGACGTAGGATCGTTGGGGATGACGATAGTATTCCAGTCATTGGTAGTTCCCATTTCATTGATGCCGTGCTCCCTATCATTACGACTTCCTGCTATGCAACTTATACGGTTCACAATTCGTTTCTTTCTTATTATGTTCCAGAAAATTTTGGAGCAATATTTTTTTTCAAACGACGAATACCAGCATTTGTTAACTCACATATTGTTGTCAATGTTTGTTCTTAATTTAAGAACAGTTTAATCGCATTGATGTCCAAGCAATTGCAAATCGTTATAGACAATAAATGTGATCCTATAAAATATTAAGGTGATTATTTAGAAAAGGGGGGGTCTCACCGATTTCGATGATTTTTGAATATATTGTAGAAATCAACATTTTGAACAACTTTTTCCTATACATATAATCGCTGCTCGGTTTTAGTTTCCGAGATTTTTCTTCAAAAAGATCGCTGCTACTACAATGAATTCTATCTACACATATG